ACGTGATCAAATTTAAACGAAGAACTTTGTCTTATTTATTCTTGTCGTAAGATAGGATAATATGAACAAAACATGAAATAGAATAGATTATACATATATGATATTAAATAAGAAATTTTGTTACATTTATTAATAATTTTGAGAAATTAATTAATTTCAAATATAATAGAGAAATTAATAATCATCTCATGTTTTACAAGAATTGATAAATTTTCTGATATTATTAATATAAGTTTATTAAGATACATAAGATTCCATTAAAAATTGAATTGGATATTCTTTGCCCTTTCTATTGCTTTACATCTTGTCTTTTTTTCATTAATTTATTATAGTTCATGATATTCCAATATTACACTCATTAAATGAAAATTAGCGTTTGTTAAATAAAAAGTTAATTTCGGGTAATAAACGTAATATATCGTATTCCTTTATATATCATTTATACTACAAAAAATCTACAAAAAAATTCTACAAAAAATTATTTACGTTATGTAAATTTTAAATACGTTATTTACGTTACGTAGTTACGTTATGCATCAAGTTACATTCAAATTGTGCCATTCAAATTCTACATTGAAACATTTTTTAACATTAACAATTTCGAAAAATTACATAAAATCGATTTAAATATAATTATATATTCTTTTTGTTATTCAAATTTTATTTGAAACATTTTTCAATATTATTAACAATTTCAAAGATATTCGTGAGAAACGATTTAAATAGAATACCATATACGAACTGTCTTAAATATCGGATTAGCAGTCTATTTCGAATCAACTTTCTCAAAGCATAAACGATGAATTTAGCGAGGCTTCTCAATTAAGCCATTCGATAACACGTTCGATCGTTAACCATTGCTTAACTTTAAAACGAGTTGATTCGCGCCACGAATATCGCGTAGTCGCGTTTGCCTTTGCTATCAAACGATGCTACTCCATGATTTATTGGTCGTAATCAAGGACTACAGGCTACTATTTTGTGTAAACGCGAGTAATATCGTGCTACATCGTCTCTCGAACACGCGATACATGATATCGCGTCATTTTCCTCTCCGATCATGAAAATCTCGTGAGATAAACTCGTTTACCCTCTGTTTTAACTATACTTCCGGTCGATAGTACTCGTTGCTTGTACTTAAGTTTTATGATAGGATAATGGGTTCTTTGAAACTTTATTAAGAGTGATGTGATATCTACTCGATTTTGATATATTCGATTGTCTAGGATTGTATATATTTTTAATAATATTAATAATTAATTTTCTCTATTGAAATAAATATATATTATATAATATATTGAATAAACTTTTGATCAAAAAATTAGAACTATTCGCACTTTGTAATATTTTTTTGTGTTTTTAATAAAGTTTAAATATCTGAATGGAATTTAATTGTCAATTTTAATGATTAATCGTATATTTTATATTAATAATTTGTATATTATGATATATAATATCTTATTTTTTACTATAGAGTGTTTACATATTATGTTAACGATGAAATTCGACGAGCCGAAATTGAGAATCGAATGTTTATGTTAGCATATCAATTACACATCATAAGTAATTGAAAAAAAAATTAAACAATGCATAAGAAGAATGCAGAAAGAATTATAATTAGAAAAATAGAAATAAAATATAATAATTAATAAAAATTATTATCAAGTACTTTTAAATTTTATTAAAAATACGAAAAATGTTGAGAACTGCAATCTTAATTTTTTGAACTCTATATTCATTATTAAAATTAATTCTTGAAAAACAGACGAATATAGAATTAATTTTTTCTAAAAGAATTAATAAAAAATAGTCAATAAATAAATAAAAGTTTGAAAAAAAAATCTTTATTGAGAAACTATGGCAGTAGAAACATTTTCTTGTCGAAAAAATATTGAATAAAAATTCCACTATATCATAAATTATAAAATTATAAAATTTATAATTAATATAATTAAGAAATTAAAATTATAATTAAAAATATTTAATTTTATAGTTAGTGGAACATACAATTTTTTTAAGTCAAATTATATTCGAATTATTAATAAAATGATGGAACAACGATGAAGTACATTTAATCAATACCGAAAATTGTTCATCTTTACCAATAGCTGTACTTCGTGTGCAATTGAATTGCATATTATTCCATCTGGTCACGTTATATCTTTCCTTTGGTCTCGACGTTAGTTGAGTTGCTGATGCGTGCGATCCACGTCGCCGAATTTCCGTTCGCTCCCGCTAATTGCCATGACTAACAAGAAACAAGTTAAGAGGATGGCTTCCCTTACGAACCGTTCGTGAGAAATTCGTCGGGCTTTTGGTAGTTTTGCATAGATAAAACTTGTCTGTTCCCACGAGATGTTTTCAATTGTAAGAATTGGTGAACTTCCAAACAACGCATCAAAACATTCACTTATCGTATACCAAAAGAAAGTTTAAACTTTTAGCTGCTATTCATGGCAGACGTTGACGTGGCCGAAAACAAGAATGTATTATTTCAACAATATGAAATAAAAATACAAATATATGAATTTTTATTATGGGATGAGAAAATAAATTTAAACAATAAATTTCAAAAATATCCAATATTTTGAAAAATAATTTTTTTTCTTCGATTATTTTTTATTTTCTTTGTGAGTATTCTTTGTATACTTCAATTTTATTTACATCATTATTAATAATAAAGTAATCATTTTTTTTTATATAATAAAATTTGTAAAAATTTTTCGAAATTATTTTATATAATAAAATATTTTTATCGACAAAATTTTTGTTATCATTGTGTATAAAGTTAAAAAACTTATGTTATTTTATTAAAATATTTTAATTTATTCATAGATTATAAAGTTTATTTGTCAATCTCTAAGATTGTTTGTCAATTTGTTAATTAATATTCAAATGCTTACAATTAGTTATACTCAAAATAATATTATTGAAAGTTAATTTTACAGCTTCGATTACTGTCAACAAATTGTTAGAATTGTCAATTGACAATAGTTTCAAGTTTAATACATGATTGCATTCCATATTTCAATTGTTTTTGTTTTAGCTTGCATAATGAATGTTAGCTTTATAAGCAGAAGTCGCTGATATATTTCTTCAAATCTATTTATCAATGAGGATTAGTTTATATTTCTTTTTCTTTCCTTTTGCATTATTCAATAATGAAATCATCGCTTATAAAACAAATGTTTTGATCATTAATTGATTCTTTTAAAATTAATGAAGATTTAAAATTTCATAATAAATTAATTAATCGTCAATTTGCTGGAGAAAGATAGATAAATAGATTTTTCTATTTTAATCAAATTTGGTCAAGGTTTTCTGAATCATTGCAATCTATTTTTTCGGTTGGCTGATGATTGAATTATATAAAATGCTTGTTCACTTTATTATATATTAAATGAAACATTGCATTTATATAAATGCAAATAAATATATAATTCGATTAATTTTTGAGTAAATATTTTTTTTTATAAAAAAAAATATATCACAAAAAATTACTAATCGTTTCGTAATTAATAAATCTTGAATTTATAATAATAATGAAAATATGAATACAAAAAATTAAATAAAAAAAAAAAGTATAGATTTAAAACATCAAAGATTGAAATTGCAAAAATATATGGTAATTCGATAATGTAATGTGATGAAGTGATGATTAAAAGTACTTGTTGAATTCAGTTTGAGAGGACACTCACGTGAAAGTTTGATTCAACAATGGACACGTGACACGTTTTATTCGAAATTCGTAAAGCAGACAATAAAACGTTCATACTTATGTAATGACGATTCTCGTATTAGTATGTTCGCCCGGCGCAATATATATTTTCACGTGACAGTGTACTCGTCATAGACACTGCAACCAAGGATAAACTCCAAATGAATTATTCAATGTTTTCTCGTGCAACAAATTTATTTCGATTCTGATTATGCTACAGAAACCGATAGAATTTTGTCGAATGAACTTTTTATAGAAAAATTTCTTTGATGATTTTTTTTCGTGATATACAAATAAAGATATCTATAAATTGAGAAATGCTTACTTCAATTATTATGCAATATAAAATTAAAATACAAAAATGAAAACGGATAAATAATAAATTTAGATTAATTTAGATTATTTCATAAATATATAAATATAAATATATATATATATATATATATATATATATATATATAAATCGATATAATTTAAATTTATTTATAATTAATAATTTATTTTTAAGTTTTACCCTATTTACAAAAGTTCGAAAGTAATTAGTTTATACTACTTATAACATATATAAAATAGATTTTCAATCTCTGTGTCTTGATTTCTATTGTTTTATCCACGAATCCGCAGCATAACCGCTGAACTAACGTTTCAATATTTCTCTGTGTCACGAAGTGTCTCAGTTACAAAACGCTGCAAAGTTTATAGGAAATGGTAATCTAAACCCTGACTTGCTTTGCAAGCATACTGGCGACCACAATGGCTGATATTCGTTATGTTTAAGTGGCATATTTGAACCACGAAATATTTCGATAAAAAATTTTAATTATTTAACTTTTTATTTTTATTATAATATTATGCGATTTTTTCAAATCGAAATTTGTTGAGAAAAATGCTTAATAATGATAATAATTTTTTTAGAAAGAAAATATATATAGATAATGAATCACAATATTTATAATGCAAGCAAAATTTTTTGCAACAGAATCTTCGCAGTTACGTTTTTACATTTTATGTAAAACAAGAATATTTAATAATTATATTTATTCTAATCATTCAAATTTAAATATTTTTTATTTCTTGTTTTATTTTATATAATTATTTAAATTATTATTATTATTTCTTTTTTTAAATTATAATTTTATATTACAAAAAAATAGCATTAATATTAAATTTTTCATAAATTAACTTAATAATTGAAAATTATTTTTTTATATTCGTTTTTTTTATATATCATATACTTTATATATCATATAATATTTTATTAGATATTAATTTTCTGTTATAGGAAATATACATGTATCTATTCATAGAGCTTGAAAACATTGAGATCTCAAATGAAATACGTAGTGGATTTTTTGCGGCGTAAAATGTTTCTCTACAAACCAGATACAATCGTAAACGCATTATAATGGTCGTAAATCACTTTAAATAACCTTGAAAGATCTCGAGAAACCAACATATTGTAAGTAAATGAATTTATTTCGAAATGGAATATTTATTTAAATGAAAATATACAGTTTGGAAAAAAATAAAGATCATTTTATTCTACTCCTTTCGAATTTTTATATTTTAATCTTGTCTTTATTTCAACAAATACAAAGATTTTTAATGTTTTAAGAAAAATTAAATAACAGATTTTATATATTGTTCATAATTTTTTTCAAGTTTAACTTATTAGTTCGTATATAAACTTTTGAAACATAAATATATTATGTAGATTAATCCCTGATTCTCAAAATAATATATCATTTATCATGATATATATACAGATATATATAGAAAAACATGGAATATAGATTATATAATATATAATCATTCACATTTCTTTTTATATTAATAAAATATCAATAAGTAAACAACTTTTATAAAATTATAATTTTATAATAAATAATAAATCAGAGTAATTATCTGTCTATTTTGCAAAATTTGATTTAAAGCATAATGCGTATATTTTGGATACACATATCTTAAGTATATTTTTATATATCATTTATCACAAAATGTTTTCATTTTTATGTCCTTTCTTTTGAGTAAATTGTGTATCTTGATTTTATCGTAAATTATATTTTCATAAATTTTAATAAATTTACAAATTTCTATTGATTCAAAAAATTGAAAAAAATTCAAGAAATATTAAATATTTAATAATCTATTAATTTAAATATTATACAATAATGTTAAAAAAAAATAATGCCCAATGATAAGATTTTTCAAGGATTTATTAGATTTCCATACATTGCATTGGCGGATTAAATGTTATGCTTTATCACTGAAGGGATATTTTACATTGTAGAATCTACAATATCTAAAATTTATATTATTATATTATTTTTTATTTAATATTATTTCATATGATCACGATTTGAATATAAGACAAATAAAAAATTGAAAAAAATGAAAAAAAGAAAAATATATTAATTTAATAAGACATGCAAATTTTTATAATATATATACAGATATAATATGAAAATAATTTATTTACATACATTATTGTAGAATATGAAAATTTAATCTTCAATCTTCAGTTAACGTGTTATGAGGTTAAGGACGTTGCGCGAATCCACGTGAATAGAGGAAACCGGACGAGAGGTTGGCTTGAGTGGCGATGCTTGTAATGGACATGAATGTACATTCGCGTTGGTTTGCCGGCCGTTTCGAAAATACACGCGGAATGATTCACCTCTCACGCATGTCCAATGTCTATCGTTGAGTCTAGCGCATTATAATGCGGACGGAACGAGTGGATAGTGCGCGCGTTGGAACAATGGCCACTTAAACTAACTAGCTGATTAAATGCTCACCTCAGTCACCACGGATGCACGATTAAATATGGTGCGCATTGTATATATCGTGCTCGTTTTTCTCGACCAGTTGCGACAGGATAGCGTTTTTCGTCTTTAATTTCTGACAAAATATTAATGGATTTAACGTAAATGTATAATTAACACGTTGAGAAAAAGAGAATTTCATTAATTTAATTTAATTTAATTTTGTATTTCGAATAACTGTAACAGGTTATCGAGTTTCCATTAAATAATGTTATTCTTATAATGAAAAAAATATAAGATTATTTAAAAAAATTATTAACTTAACTGATTATTACTAATTATTGAAATTTTTTCTTTGTTATTTCTGTAGAAAAATTATTTACATATATAAGAGCTTTTTTTATATTAAATAATTTTTATGAAAATATTCTTATAATAATTTTAATTATTTCTAAATCTATCTTTCAACTAAAAGAATTATTTCTAACCTAAAATAATTTTCTTTTATCGATAATGATTACCAATATTAAAAAAATATTATTATCAATAATAGTTATTCTAATCTAAAATTATTTCGTAATTAAAAAATATTTTCATCATCGATAAATATTATTTCTAATCAAAAACAATTTCGATCAGTTGTTAGTTTCATTATCGATAAATATTGTTTCTAATTTAAAACAATTTCATTCTATTATAATATAATATATTATATATATTATCATATGAACATTATAATATAATGATATAATATAATGGCGTAAACGAAATAAATTTTCATTATTTTCAATGAAAAAAAATGAATTTATTAAAATATTTAATAAAAATTAATATTTTTCAATCATTATTCTTTTTTTTTTAATTTTTTTAACATCTAATGATTATTATTTTTTTTGAATATTAATTTTAATGAATATTAACTTTTTTCAATTTTTTCGTAATAATGTTTAAAGTAATTATTATTTTTGATTTCTATTTATCAAGAAATGTCTTAGCATTCAGTATGTCACATTTACCAGAAAACAAGCTTTAGCTATCTGATTTCTCAAGTAACGATCATAAAGATTTGTCTCATCGTGGGGGATTTGGTTCGAGAACATGTGGTTTAACTGTTGATTTTGTTTTTGAGAGATACACGATAGCCCTGCTCTTTTCTTATCTTTTTCTTTTGCATTCACGTATTGGTTAACGATATATACCGTCCCATGTTAACATACGAAGATCACACGCAAACGCGCCTTATACGACGTACAGTGTCACGTTTGATTAATGTTTGCTGCGAGAGCAAGTGTATTTATGAATGTTTAAGCAAATTATCATACTAATAATATCAAAGAAATTCTGATTTTGCTATGATTTTTCATTGATGACTAAATATTTTGAAGATGATTAATGATTTAAATTTTACAATTTTTATTTTTAAATATATCAACAATTCTATGATTACAATTTTTCTTATTTTATTATTTATATTTCATTTATTAACGCTTCTTCCAAATATTATGATAAATATGAAAATAACATTAAGTTAAATTTTATTTGTCTCATTAAAGTTAAATATCTAATTAAGAAGAAAAAATTGAAATGATGATGTTACGAAGAAAAGAGAAATTAATTGGAAATTATATATCAAACTTTTTTTTCTCATTTGCAATATGCAGTAGTAAATATTGCCTGCAAAATGTTAAAAAGAAATGAAATGCTTGCGAAATACAGTCTATATTTATCATAATCAAGAAATGAAAAAAATGCATACATTTTGGCAATGAAAGTGAGGTTAAAATGATTTTGCGTCGTTTGCAGGATTCGCATAAGCCACTGCGGGAGTTGCGATGCCAACGTATCACAATGCGGGTGGTGGATACCCGAATGTGTCAGCGCCAGCGCGGCAAGCGAAGCTCGATGGCAATCAAAATCACCATACGATCCCCTCAAACGTAACGTCCCATCCCCTTATACAAAATAGCACGCAACACAACGTTCCTTCCAACTTATCTGCAAGTAACATTCCGTCCCATCCAGTATCACCGACGATGACTACGCATTCGAACGTCACCACTCCTAATATAACCAGTCACATGAATACCGGATCAACGCCGGTAATCCTCACTTCGAATGTCACGAATCCTAGCAATCCTGCTGCGTTATCGGTGAATCCGAGGCACGAGGTCAAACTGAACGCTATGCCGTACGTATTTGTTGTTCCTTGCACACGCGAGATGACACCACTGTTTGAGCAAACGATTGGAGAATCAATCAATTCTATATTTTTCTATTTTCTCTAAGAAGATTTATTATAAGATTTATTATATTATTTTATAAATACATACTATATATACTTATAAAAATATCATTGAATTGATAAAATTATGATAAATTATATAATTGATATTAATATAAATTAAGAGAAAATAAAGAGAATTAAAATATAGTATGAAAAATATTTAAACAATAATTTAATTTTTCCAAAATTTATTTTTGAATTTCTTGAAAAAACTCTATTTGAACAAAATTTTTTTTTAATTCAAATATGAAACATGATCCTTTAATCGTTTTGATTAATGTTTTGTTTATTATCTGCTTCTCTACATTTTTCATCGAACTAATTGTAAGAAAAACTGTACAAAATTATATATTTAAAGTCTTACATCTTCATTTCTTTATGTAATTTTATTTACTGATTAGTAATATATCTTTTTAATTAATTAAAAATAACTTTGAAAATAAAACTTCAATATGATGAAGATTAATTGCTAAATGTAACTTGATTTTTTGAATTAGATATATTCTGTTTTATCCTAATACATAATTTTATATGTATAGGTTTTTCTTATTTTAAAAATGAATATAATTAAATCTACGATTTGAAAAAATTTCATCGAAATAATGTTTGATTATATAAATAATGAGTATATAAGTAATGAGTAATAAGTAAGATTATATAAGTAATGATCATCGAATTATATAAGTAATGATCATCGTTTCAGATGGTTCCACGGGAAGATATCAAGGGAAACTGCCGAACGATTGTTGCGGCCGCGCGAGGACGGCCTGTTCCTAGTCCGGGAGTCGACGAATTTCCCCGGCGACTATACGCTGTGCGTGTGTTATCAGGGTCGTGTACAACATTACAGAGTGAAATATAAGAACAATCAATTGACTATCGACGACGAGGAGTTTTTCGAAAATTTGGCCTTGCTGGTCGAGCATTATGAACAGGATGCGGATGGATTGTGTACGCAATTGACAAAATCCTTACCGAAAGAAGGCAAACAGGATTTCTGTGTGGATTTAAAAGCTTTCGTAAAGGCTGGTTGGGTAATACAGACCCACGAGTTAGAATTGAGGGAATGTATCGGGAAAGGAGAGTTCGGTGACGTGTTATTGGGCGTTTATCGAGGCGAAAGGGTCGCCGTGAAAATGCTAAAAGACAACAGTGAGGCGGCACAGAGGTTTCTGGCTGAAGCAAGTTTGATGACTTCGTTGATCCACGATAATCTAGTCAAACTGCTCGGCCTTGTTTTCAATAATCAACACATGTACCTGGTTACGGAATATATGAGCAAAGGATCCCTGGTGGATTACTTGAGATCAAGAGGAAGATTGCATGTTTCTAAGAAAGATCAGATCAACTTCGCGTAGTACGTAGAATTGGATTTATATTTCACTGGAGAAATATGCTAAGTATCATGTGCTGATTTCTATGAAAACTTTGATACAGATGAATGATTAGCATATATAGTTTGCCTGCGTTTCTTATGAAAATAATAATAAAATTTTATTCATTATGAATAATCGTTATGAATAGTAATTTCATAATTTCAAGATAAAAGAATGTATATATGTATAAAGTTTATACTATCTAATATCAATCATTTCATCACACGATTCCTATAACAATCAATTTCAAAAGATAAATTTAACTAAAAAAATTATTGTACACAATTTAATTATTTTCTGTTTATTTGTTTAGTTTCATTAAAATCAGTACATTACATTTTAAATGTTTTGTTAAAAAGAATTGAATGATTTTAAATATATATTTTATTCTTTTTCAGCGACACGTGCGCAGGTATGGCATATTTAGAATCTAGACACGTAGTACATAGAGATCTGGCCGCGAGAAACGTTCTCGTCGCGGAGGATAATTCGGCAAAAGTGTCAGATTTTGGTTTAGCACGGGATGAAAATTTTTCTCTCGAAGGAGGAAAACTTCCCATCAAATGGACTGCACCAGAGGCTTTAAAGCAAAATGTAAATCGTTTTTTAAAAAACGATCGCTCAGTATCAAAATTTTACGATATTTATACAATTTTACAACTTATACTCAATTTGCTATTTCTATTTCTGTGTTTTTAGAAGTTTTCAAATAAGTCTGATATGTGGAGTTTTGGAATACTTTTATGGGAAATTTATTCCTTTGGACGTGTACCATATCCACGAATTGTTAGTATAATTTTTTATCTATTTTCTTGTTATATTTACATTAGTTATTTTAATCGATTTTTTTTTTTTTTTTTGATTTCAGCCATTAGCGGATGTTGTAAAATGTGTAGAAAAGGGATATAAAATGGAGCCACCAGATGGTTGTCCGCATGAAGTTTATGATATTATGAGACAAGTATGTATCAAAATTTTCAAAATGATTTTATAAAAAATTGTTTTACATATTGATATTGCATAAATATTATTTTTATTAGGCATGGGACTTACAACCTGAAAAACGACCTACTTTTTACGATATAAAACTTGTATTGGGTCAACTAAAAGCTGAATACACCAAAGGTGTAAATTAAAAAAAAAAAAAAAAAAAAAAAAAAAAAAAAAGAAAGAAAAAAAAGAAAAAAAATGCTACTTATCATCATAGATTAATGTAGAAAAGATAGAGAAAAAAATGGAATTAGCGTTTTTGGAACTTTTTTTAAATCTGGGGCAAAAGTAGTGGCTCTAAATACTTTTTGCTAGAAAAAACAATTTTCTATTGTACATTTTTATTGTACAAAAGTAGCATCTACATTGCTTGTATTTATTGTTATTATTATTGCTATTATTATTATTATTATTATTATTATTATTATTATTATTATTAATATTATTATCATTAATATTATTTTTAAAGATATATATTTTTAGTTTTTTCTTGTATGAAAATAATTTGCATACATAAATTAACATACATCAATCGTGCCTTTGGCCAAGTTGTAATTCTTGAATAAAAGAAGTTCAACTTGTACATCCGAAATTCAGGTAGTATTTGAAAAGATATTCAGAATTTAAATATTTTATTTTTTTTCTTTTTTTTATCTTTTTTAAATATTTTCTTTTACAGTCACATTATTATAAAGTCGAGAACGGCAGTTTTTATAAAACTGTTTAATCTCGTGATTTTTGAATAATTTTGTCATTTTTATGACTCGAAATATATTTCCAAGTGTAAGAAGCGCCTTACATTGAACTGAATTTAAAGATGAAGAATTATTCACTACAAATATCTATTATAAAATAATCTTTTGGACTTAACTTATATAAGGGTGGATATTCGAATTTTTTCACTTATATGTAACGATAGAAGAGAAAAAGATAACTAGATTTTTATTATCAACTATTTGTCACAGAGATCTTTGTATCGTATTATAGCAAATGTAGATTACAAGTACTTGTTAGTTATATAAGTTTTTTTTAATCAAAGATTTATCATAGGAAGTATTAATTTTTGACTAAATTATTGAAACCATTATATACAATTATTTAAGTTATCTCGTGAGATATTTGAATATATATTAGCGATGTAAATGTATTTGTAAATACTTTTGTACATATCCGATTGTCAGAAAAGGAAAATAAGAATTAATATTTCAAGTACAGATTGATATTGGTTAGAAGATTTAACACGGATTGTGCATATTGTTTGTTTTAAATTTTTAAGGTGGTTATTTTATACGAATGTCCATATTTTAATTGCACCATGCAATGATATAGAAAGATCGGATAATTATATATTTAAAATAATTAAATCATAGACCTTTCGTGTTATTCTATATCTTCCTTTGTAATATAAGAGCCACGACTTATTTAATACTTTTTCCAATGGTTATAACGGACTAATGATATTTATTCGTAGATGATAGAAAGCTTCAAGCGAAATAGAAAAAAATATAACAATATTGAATCATTGAATAAATAATTTGTTAAAAAAACTGTGAACAATTGGTATGCAATGCTTTTTATTTTGAGCAAATAATATTCCTTTTAATAATATTTCGTTTTTTAATATCTAATTATATTTATATACATAATTTCTATCAGGATACAGAAATCAGAAAATCAAAGCTAATATACTCAGTTCCTCGCATTCTTTCATTACTTGCAATATTCGAAATAAAAACTGTCTTAACTAAACGGAGCTTTGTAAGAAATAATTTTATAAGGATATACTAGATCTGTTTCGCAAATGTACGTGTCTAGTTTGAAAGTAGTGAATAGCTGTAATAAATATATAGCGTATTTATAAGCTGTCAGTCCGTTTATAACTTCTATAGTATGTAATATAATGTATATGGCTCTAATCCAGTACCTAAAATTTTTTTAATGGCGTTATATTTTTGACCTGTTTTTTTTTTTTTTTTTTTGCATAACAATATATTTTGCAATTATAAAAACCAACATTTGTGGATATGTCACGACATATATATATATATTTCACATCCAATATAATCCGTATAGAATATCAGTTTTCACTGCTTTGATATTTTTCATATTCTTACGTTGAATACTGAAACTGCAGTTTGTCATATTATATTTTTTAAACAGCATCGTATTTATAGTGTGGTGTGAAAGACATTATTTCATAATTATCCTGTGTAATTTAATATATAAGCGAGACTTTATTACAAAACAGCGTTAAACTTTTATGAATGCGACCAGTGTGTTAGATTCTTTTATTTTTTACTTATTATAAATTTGATGATAAATTTGTTAGCTTATAAGAAATTTAATATGTATATATATGTATGTGTGTATATGTATATACATATTGAATAACAAGTTTACGATACGATATTCATAAATTGAATGAATTCGCTAAAGTTTGTTCAAAATTTATTGATTATTCAATATCATTTTTTTGAGATAAACTAAAGCATATTTTCTTTTTCAAACTTATGAAATGTATCAATTATTTTCATATATATTTACGACAAAGCTTAAGTTTACATTATGTCTTTATATTTATGTTTTTCATTTTCAAAATAAACAATATAGTGGAATAAATATTACGTGCTATAATAAAGGATTTTTTTCTTCAATTTGATTTTGATCAATTAATTGATCTTGGACAAACTATAGCTTATAATACACGAATGTATCTGAATTTGAAAAATTGAATGCCTTTGCATTGATGCGGATGAATATGACAATAGCACATGATATGAATTATATTAAGAGTTTTCATTCTGGCCTCCAAAAAACTGAACTGTACGATATCGTGGGTGTTCATGCGTTCTACCTGTGTGGTCGCATTGTTACTACAGATTCTAAAGATTCTCAATAGACAGCTAACAATAGAAATAAATTGTGGTTCATTAACCAGAAGAACAAGCATCAAATGAAGCATTAACAATTAATAAAAATATGGAAGAAGGTATACTGCATTCGTTCATCGGTTTTAATTATTTCCAACTATGAAATGTATATGTTCATGTTTTCTTTTATCGAGAGGATAAATCATATATTATGTATATACAAATAAAAATTTGCATTTTCATTGATATAGTTGGGTCTTCCAAAGACATCCAGCGATTAGAGAGCCATTCGTATGATGTTTCAGAAAAGTACAACTATTACAACGGGAGGTATAGTTCGAAGAGAATTTTTTATTTCGCACAAAAAGAAAATTTGTAAAAGATTCGTTTGTCTTATATCATTATTTTTTTCTTCTTTATTTAATCTCCAATGTTATACTTTACTGCCAAACGCTAATAAAATCGTGATATTCGTTCAAATTTACATCTCTGTATTTATTTCTACTAAAATTTCTCACTAAAATTCTTCATTACCTCATTTTCAGTTGATGAATAATCATTAGAAACATTAGAGTAGTTAATAGTAGTATCAGAATTACTGTTTCGTTGCATTATTTCGTTTTTAAATATTGCTACAAATTCATCTCTATGTTCACTATTAGATAGAGATTGTATATCTTCCGGTATTCTAGGTAAGACTAACAATTTTTCTCTAGTTTCTAAGTGATGTTCGATGCACGACGATGCCTGAGACATGTCAATTTTATTTTTTTTAATTCGCTTAAATATCGTAAAAGGATGGACATGTTCCTGTTTCGAATTTTTGGAATTTTTCAATCGACTTCTTATCACTATACTTCTACGAGTATAATAAGGTTGTTCGAAACCGTTTTTCAACAATTGTCGAAATTGATTATTAACGGAACCCGTAATAAGCAAATAATTCTTCTTTTCTTCATCCACAATTATAGAATGTTTCACTAAACGCACATTATTACACTGTTCACCGACCGAAATGCGATTTCCGTCGGAAGTGTCGCATTTGTGATCGCTATAAGCATTCGAGGGAAGTAAAATCCAATCATCTTTCTGAGATTTTTTATTTTTATTTCTGGTAATTTGTCGATTCGAATGCTGTATATTTTTATCGTGAGTGTTACTTGACAATTTGTGGAAATGAAAATTCGATAGAATGTCGTAGAAATTTGGTATATTTCTTAACAACGAATTGAATGATGCGAATCGATTCTCAATCCTAGAGAATATCACAGAAATAATATTATTTTCCATTCTTGAAATACTATGATAAGAACTACTTCTATCGCAAACGATCTTGGAGGAATTCGATTCTTTTTCATGGACTGTATTGTCTGAGATATTAGTTTCTGTTGTTTCTGCTATCTTTTGATGTGCATACTTCAATGGTGGAAATTGCTTGAGTCCATTTGCCGTTTTCTCATCTACAAATCGTAATGATTTCTTGTATTTAATAATTTTTTATACTATTTAAAATATAAAAAATGTAATAAAATTAATTCGAATATAAAATTACTATATTTAAAATCAATATAATATAAACTTTTAAATATTTTATATTATTAACTTTTTATATCTATATATTATTTTAACATCCTATTTTAATAAATATAATACGTTCTAGAATGCAGAAGATATTTATCGTAATATTTACTTACCATTTATTCGACAATTCTTTGGAAACATTTTTTCAACAATTGTACATTTTTCAATTTTATTGCTCATTTCGATACTCGAAACTGTTGGGACTATTGATTCACATTTTTGATTACCAGATACAATCGAGCAATTTTCTTTCTTTGAAAGAAAATATACATCATCGTCTTCAGTTTCATTTTCTTTACTAACATTCTTCAATGAATCACATTCAACGTTTTCTTTGCATTGATTTTCAGTCGTTTGAACCGAATAATCTTTAATATCCCATCCGTAAAAATCGCCAAAATTTTTATCATATTTTATGTGGGTCATTGTAGAAACGAACTGTACATTTTTTTTCTTTGCATTTTTCTTTGTTTTTTCGAATTCGTTATGTTCATCTTTTTCAACTTCATCATCTTTTGCAACTTCATCATCTTTTGCAATTTCATCATCTTTTGCAACTTCATCATTTTTTGCGTTTTCTTTGTCTGGAGCGTACGTAGAAAACGAAATTGATTTTTTTAATTTTTCCAGTTTTTTGAAAGGAAAATAAGCAAATTTTATCTTTTCAACTGATTCATCTTTAATTGAAACATCTGTATCATCTTTTCCTAAATTTTCTAATTCTACTTTTGTATGATCTGATGTAAATTCTTTTTTTTTTTTACTTTCTTTTTTTCTTTCCTTGATTACATGAAATATCTTCTTTTTATTATGCTCGTCATTTTCTTCTGGTTCCATAATGTATGTATAATCAAGTACTTTCTTCTTTAACACATCAGTTTTACTGGTTTCTTTGATTGGTTCATCTTTAATTGAAACATCTGTATCATCTTTTTCTATGCTTTCTAATTCTAATTTTGGTTCCGATGTATCTTTTTTCGTTTTTTGACTCTTTTTTGTTCTTTCCTTAATTATATGAAATATCTTCTTTTTATCGTGCTCCTCACTTTCTTCTGGTTCCTTAATAAAAATGTATTTGTAATCAAGCACCATCTTCTTTAACACATCAGTCTCACTGGCTTTACTTGTTTTTTCGATTGATTCATCTTTAATTGAAACATCTGCATCATCTTTTTCTGTACTTTCTAATTCTAATTTTGGTTCCGATGTAACTTTTTTCGTTTTTTGACTCTCTTTTCTTCTTTCCTTGATTACATGAAATATCTTCTTTTTATCGTGCTCCTCACTTTCTTCTGGTTCCTTAATAAAAATGTATTTGTAATCAAGCACCATCTTCTTTAGCACATCAGTTTCACTGGCTTTAGTTGTTTTTTCGACTGATTCATTTTTAATTGAAACATCTGCATCATTTTTTTCTGTGCTTTCTAATTCTAATTTTGGTTCCGATGTAACTTTTTTCGTTTTTTGACTCTCTTTTCTTCTTTCCTTGATTACATGAAATATCTTCTTTTTATCGTGCTCCTCACTTTCTTCTGGTTCTTTAATAGAAATGTATTTACAATCAAGCACTTGCTTCTTTGAAACTTCAATCTCATTCGCTTTACTGGTTTTTTCGATTGGTTCATCCTTAATTGAAATATCTGCATTATTTTTTTCTATGCTTTCTAATTCTAATTTTGGTTCCGATGTAACTTTTTTCGTTTTTTGACTTTCTTTTTTTCTTTCTTTGATTGCATGAAATATCTTCTTTTTATCATGCTCCTCACTTTGTTCTGGTTCCTTAATAGAAATGTATTTACAATCAACTTGTTTCTTTGACATTTCAATCTCATTGGCTTTATTGGTTTTTGCGATTGGTTCATCCTTAATTGAAATATCTGCATTATTTTTTTCTATGCTTTCTAATTCTAATTTTGGTTCCGATGTAACTTTTTTCGTTTTTTGACTTTCTTTTTTTCTTTCTTTGATTAAATGAAATATCTTCTTTTTATCGTGCTCCTCACTTTCTTCTGGTTCCTTAATAGAAATATATTTACAATCAAGCACCTGCTTCTTTGACACTTCAATCTCACTGGCTTTAGTCATTTTTTCGACTGGTTCATTCTTAATTAAAACATCTGTACCATCTTTTTCTATACTTTCTAATTCTAATTTTGGTTCCGATGTAATTTTTTTCGCTTTTTGACTCTTTTTTCTTCTTTCTTTGATTGCATGAAATATCTTTTTTTTATCATGTTCCTCACTTTCTTCTGGTCCCTTAATAAAAATGTATTTATAATCAAGCACCATCTTTTTTAACACATCAGTTTCACTGGCTTTAGTTGTTTTTTCTATTGGTTTATCCTTTATTGAAACATCTTTTTCTATGCTTTCTAATTCTAAATTTGGTTCCGATGTAACTTTTTTCGTTTTTTGGCTCTCTTTTCTTCTTTCCTTGATTACATGAAATATCTTCTTTTTATCATGCTCCTCACTTTCTTCTGGTTCCTTAATAGAAATATATTTACAATCAAACACCTTCTTCTTTGACACATCAGCCTTACTGGTTTTACACGTTCTCACACTTTCCCTACTTTTAATCTTTATCTGAATCGGCCCAATAATTTCAGACTTCTTTTCAATTCTTAACATTTTAACCTCATTCTCAATTTTAGTCGTTTCACTGCTACGAGCAATCTTCGTATCTATCGGTTTTACTTCACAAACCTTCTCGTTTTCATCATCTTTCGCACTCTCATCCGTTTCTTCTCTTTCTTTCCTCATCTTTTTCAACTCTCCAGCCTTGCAAACCTCAACTCTCGTAACGATGTGGGGCGGCAGTTTCAATAACGATGCACATTTCACATTATACGCGTTTCCTTTTTGGTCGATATTTAATTGGAGTTTTTTTTTATCCTCATCAATGCTCTCCTCGGACGAAGTCGTCTCACAGGTGCAGATCTCCACGCTCGACTTCGATTCAACCCCTTTCTCCTTTGTACTCTTCGCACCACTCTCCCCAGTCCCCGTGTCTTTATGCATCGCGGTTCCAGTATCAGACGTATCCCTTATTTTAACATTTCGCCTTATGCATACTGAATCCTGGAAATATTCACGCGGTTGCAGGCAAAGCTTCTTATGGCTGCGTGGGCAGTGTGAAAACGGATCGGGCGACTCGAATATCTTGCCCTGCACGTAAGGCTCGAACAGATGCGCGTCCGCGATACCGAACATGCATCTGGATTCGGAGAATTGTTGGATGGCTCTCGAGGTGAGGGTGGGCAGAGGCAGGGGTATCGCGACACTTCTCCTTCTATCGAATTCCATCTCCACTTGCCGGATTTTCGCTCGGACGGTGATTAAACGGCTCTCGGCGATCACTCTTTGCGAGCTATAAGGCGAGTAGTTCACGTTAAGTTGCTCGTCGGTTTCCTTTTGCCTCAAGACGGCGAGCAGGTGTCGCAACTCCTCGTTCGTCTTGGTGCAGAGCACGGCTGGATCTATGGGGCCGGCGGTTTCCACCTGGAAACATCGATAGACGAGGTGGTGAACGGAATGGGAACGAAGGAAGGGATGCTCGTGAAGAAAGAATATATTTTTATTATTATTCGCAGCTTCTCTTCGTTAAAAATTACGTGAACGGGGATGATTCGGCATATAATTTGATTGAGTTTTGCACGTGTAATTAGATACGATGATATTTTGTGAAACGAATTTGAACGATGTTGATGTCTCATTGGGATTATCAGGAGCGAAGAAAGATAGATGGTAAGGGTGAAGAAGGCATGAATTCTTATTGAAAATGATTTTTACGAGTAAAATGAAATCAAATTAAATGAGAGATGGAGTAAAATATATTTATACAGATATATATGTATATAATTTAATTCTCGAACAGATACAATGCAATAGATAAATACAAAAACACAGGACATTTCTTATATTACAACTTAAACCTAAATTTAATTTTCTTGAACCAGAAGAAATAATTTCTAATTTAATCTGAAGGTCCGTCTTTGTAAAACCCAACAAGGCCCCTTATACAAATCGCTTAACAAAACGAAACCCACCTCATACCCATATCCCTGACACTCCATCACCTTCTTGTTGATCAAACTCTCGACCTGCGCCTTCAGCACGTTCACCTTCACCTGCACCAGCGTGAGCAACGGAATAATATTCGCCGGTGGATTCGTGGTCATATGGAGATTGATCAAAGCGTTCAACTGCTGCGCGCTCCTCGCTTCGGACAGCAACTGTTCCTTGTTAAGGGTATTTAGACACATTTGGGCCTTCTCCATCGTCTCCTCCATGGTGGTCGTTATATTAGAGCCAGGTATTCTCCTCAGGATCAAACGTGTAGCGCAACAAGATATAATCCCTGGAAGTGTCAAAAATTGCGATGCCAATGCTTGAAGACTTATGGAAGCTGGACAGTTCCGTTTCGAGCAAATAGTGTCATCGTCTGTAGGTGTGCAATGATGCTCCTCCTCTACCTTGAGCATGTGGCAGCAGCATCCGTGGGGATAGCCCTTGCCGGTTGCTTGTCTGTTTTGCCAACAATGCGAGCAATGAACGCGAGGTTGTCCAAACGAGTTGTAGATAGGCATAGGGATAGGATAGGGATAGAAGGAGGGTGGATAGGAGATTGGTTGTGATGGATTGACATTCGTCAATTGTGCTGTTGTCTGCTGGTGTATTGGGTTTCCTTGAGCGGTTTGACTGGCTTGTTGGTGACAGGTGGCCGGCAGAATAAATATGGAACTCGCCCCATTCACGCAGTTGCGTATCTGGTCAAGAACATTTTGTGGGAGGATAGTGTAATTTGGTTGTGTTTGTACGTTTGTAGATGTAGGTATATTGGGATATGTTTGTTGAAATATTGGCAGGTAAGAGCTTTTCGGGTTTTGCATGGGGTTTGGTTGGTACTGGTGATTCGCCATGTATACATCCTCTTGATGGAATTGGTAGCATGGTTGCTTGAACGGATCTGTATCGATAATTTGTTGAGATTAGAAAGTTTGGAATATTTATTTGGAATAATTATTTACAGTCGTAATCCTTCTCGTCGATTTCGATGATCTCGAAATAGATGGCATGATTTTGAACTTTTTTTTATACATGTTTATCATTCGATTTTAATCATAAGGAAAAATATTAAAACATATATAGCTAGAATTGTAGAATTTGTCATAAAGGTGTTGATAATATTTTGTGAATATTTTGAAAATTGTTCAGAATGTTGAGCTTGATAATGTATTTTAAGATCAAAATCGAAGAAAAGAATATTTTTGCAAATAATTATATATATTTTAAATATAATATAATAGCTTTGAATTTTTTATCTATTAATTATCTATTATTATATTTGGTATAATCTATATTTTATAATATAAATGATGCAAAGGAATTGTTTCTGAGATCTGAATTATTGATAAAGTAAAAATGTATTAAAAGAGATTAAAATTTTCACAATATTTTGTTTAAAAAATTATTAAGATAACTATATTCTTTTATGAAAACAGAATATTTATACAAAGCGGTTTAAAAATTGTATCGTAATTGTAAATAAAAATTCTTTTGACGTATTAAAAATAACATTCTTTTATAAGGCATTCTTTTAGAAACAATTGATTACGAAAGTAAATAGAATTGTATCTAGAAAAAAACCAAACGTACTTAAAAAAATTCTAATTGATTTTTCTTTAAATTTGAAATTCCGAATACATCTTTTATTGAAATATTTAATTTTCAATCGATATTATACGCATAGATTAAAATTAATTTTTTCAACAAAAGAATTATTCAAAATATAATGTAAAATACAATTTAAATTTACATGATTCAATCAAAATGACACAAAATCTATGTTTACAATATTTTTTGCAAAATTTTTCAAAGTATATTTTTTATATATTTTTATATATTTTATATTAGCAAATTTGTAGAGAGATAATTCTATATAAAAACGAAAATCGAAAATAAAAATAAAAATTTTTTAATTTATAGCTTGTATGAAAAATTATACCGTGTTTAACCATATATTATATTACTCAATTAAATTTTTTAAAGATAAATCCTTTTAATCCAATATTTTTCAAATTAAAAAACAAAAAACTAATTAACTGCTGGTTTCTAACAATGGCAATATGTTAAAAAATTACAAAATTCGTATCAGCGTACCGCAATGAAAAACCTTCATTAGTTTCTCAAAGGATTTCATTAAATCCAATCTGGTCGACCGTGATTTACGGTCTCAAAAGCGATATTTGCCATCGAAATCCCATCTCTTTCGATAATCAGATAGATATCCTATACAAGATGTTAATATATTCGTAGGATATCTTTTGGAATTTGATTCTAAAAGCCAAAAACAAAGCAAAAATCGAATAGAAAATTCTTGAATAGAAAATTTGAAATATTGTTGATAATTTAGAATATCAAAGTTTCTAAAAAACTATTAATGTTATCAAATTTAATATATCGTAATATCGTAAATAATAAAAGCGAATGATGTTTGTGCAAAAATTTGCAATTTTAATATTCCGATTTAATCTGCAGAAGAATAAAATGTGAATTTCCAAAAATTTTTCAGTTTTTAAATATTTGATCGTTGAAATTATAGTTAAAATATAATCAAAATTTTGAAGTAAATTATTTAATTTATTCATTTGTATTTTAATTTTATTTTTCAATTTTATGAATTCTGGAAATATTCCAAGAATATAAAATATGACACGAAATTTTAAATTTTAATATCATGTTGTTAATTTGGAATATTGAAAATGAAGATAATTTGGAATATTATATATTTTAAAGATTATATTTTCATTTACTATTTAGATAATAGTAAATGATGAGAAGATAAGTTATGAATAACTTAAAAAAAAATGATTATAAATTTATACAAATAATTATATTTTACAAAGATTTTGAAAAACAATTGATTATAATATAATAATAAAAAATATGGAGATTAAAATTGAAAAATCAATATTTATTTAAAATTATAGTTTCTATATTTTTACATTTGATTAGATTGCAATATTTTTTTTTATTTTTTAAATTTTAAATAGAAGATAATTTGGAATTTCGTTTTTCCAAATTAATTTGTATCTTAATGAAATCTTTGTTTTACGTCAATTTTTAAGTTAAATCAAAATTTGAGATACTTTATTTTTTTTAAATATTATATCATATTTTTATACTTTAAAATATTTCTAATAATTTATTAATTTCATTTAATTTTATTTATTCTCAATTTCTAGAATAATTTTTTATTTTAAATATACTGCATTATTTATTGATTATTTCAATTAATTTATTAATATTATTAACAACTTAAATTTAATAATAATAATATATATATATATATATATATATATATATATATACTAAATTTTATATTTTATATACCAAATTTTGTATTTGTTTCGATTCCTATAATTGATATCAAGATCAATTATAAAAAATCAAAGATCTCCCACGAATACATCAACACCTTATGTTACACACATGTACGAGCTGTTAATAACTTTTGTTAACACGAATACCTTGCGGATTTGTCGAATAAATACAAGGGGCAGTTTGCATTTGTTGCGTGACCATTCGGGGTTGTTGGAATACCCTGCTTTGTTCAGGCACGTTGGGCACGCCTGTTGACATTTGTATATTGTAAGGTATATTCATCATCGAGGAGGTTATATCAGTTGGATCTGTATTTTTCTGTGGATTTCGCACCACAAACCCGTGCGGTTATTTTGAAGTATTAAATTTAGTGTTGCCTCACGGGTTTCGTGGCGATCCTGTCACATGGAATTTTGAATTACGGAAACCTGAAGGGATTGTTGGATTTGGTGTTGGTTTACGGGTGACGGTTGGGCTATTGATAAATTCCACTTTATCAGTGCATGAAGTTGCGTATAAATATTATTTTATACAATGTGTCTTGAATTTAAGTGTTAATTTTGAGAGGGGATATATAAAATAAAGTTCTAATTTTTTTTTTTTGTTTTTTGCTTCATTCTCAAAAAAATCACAAAAAAAGAAATAAAATAGTTTCCATTTTTCCATTTATTTATCACTTGTGTATTTATGATATTTCTATTTATTTAAGATAAATGGTGACTTGAACATTACATGATAGCATTACATCTATTAATCGTTCTAAGTACAATTAAACATTGATATTATTTGATACATTGCAGCTATAATTGCATCTTTCATTTAATTGCTTTCTTAAACTAATTATTATTAAAAACTTTCTTCTTTAAAGTTCTCTGCAAAAAACTCGAGAAGTATGACGTTTGATTGGAGTTGTCGTAGTTTTTCTCTATTTCCAATTTGTGAATAATTTCTGTTCAATCAGATTCGAATTATTATGAATTTTAAACTGAACAATTGTCCATATTTCAGATCATGTAAGAACAAGATGAAGTATTTGTAAAAAATTACGAAATAGAATCATTCATGTAAATAGAAATACTATGAACGCATAAGTATTGATAAAAAAGTAATTAAGAAAAACAATTTTAAAAAAATATGTTGTATTATTTTATGTTAATAATTATTATTTATTAATTTATATTATTTATGTGTTGTATACTTCTTTGAAGGACTTGATTCTTGTTTATAGAATGTTAAAGCATTTTTCTCGAGATGGTTAATAATTAAAATATTGCAATAATTCACTTATGTAATATCTAGGACATTTGAACATTTGAATAGAAGAAATTAGAGAGATAATTCTATAATTAAATTTTATTAATTTTTTATTATTAAAAATACACATGATCAGAATTATTGTTATATATAAAATTTTACGACCAAATGAAAAGAACTTCAATATTAAATGAAGGAATTTTAATATTTTCAATTATATTTCAACAGAATTGATTTCTACTTAAAACTAAAAAATTATATCCAAATTATTTCAATTTTTAAACTTATTAAAATTTTCACTTTATTTATAATAAGAAAAAGAAGTGAAAGATTAAGAAAGATTATAAAGATACACAATTTTTTAATTAAAATTTTATAAAATTATTGAACTTAATATTCCGTTACATTTAATGTTTGAGAATTAAAATTCTTTTAATGAAAGAACAAGAATAAGAATAATAAAGAAAAAAGAAAGAGAGAGAAGAAAATTAGAAATTAAAATTAAAAATCTTTGATACTTGAAATTAATTTTCAAATATTTTAAATTTTTCATATGAAGTTTTATGCATTTTTCTATATTCTATGAAATGAATTCACTTTAAATTTGCAATAATTTCAATTACCAATAAGAATCAGCACGTGAATCGCAGTAAAGTTCAAATAGTTTCATCTGGTATTAAAATGAGGCAAAGTAAAACTTTTAAAAGACAAAGGACGAGCTCCGTTTAGTTCAGGATTTACCAAAGTAATCACGTTAGAATTAAAATCACTTGTTGGAGCTTTTTCAGATTGCTATGTCGTTGCGCTGCAAAGACCCTATGAAATTCAATGAATCGTCCCCTAGAAAATTTTTTTTATTTTATAATTGTCGTATCCATGATTCTATTTATTCTAATTTTCTTGCTTGCAATTCATTGATATCGATCTCGCCAATCTCTACGAATTAATTAAACATTGAATTAATAAAATGCTATATATTAATTCTCTATTTTGAACTAGCTTTAACAAATGATACATTATATCATTAAAAATATATGCAAAAAACGTGATAATTTATATTCACTATTCATAAATAAACATACATTGAGAAATAAAAAGAATATTCAATTTTTTAAACTTTAATTTGCAATTTTATTACATTGTTAAATATTTGGGAAATATTCTAAATATACATGTGTAAATATTATCAAGGATATATGTATATATAAAAAATATGTTATATTCAAAAATATAATAAAATAAAAGTATAAAATTTGAATTCTAATTTATAATTTTATTAAATAATAAAATCAAACATTCAGATAAAATATTTTTAAAACAAAAATGTATATATATATATATATTATATTATTAAAAAAAATACGTGTATAAAGAATATGCTCTTTATATTTATTATTATAGATAAAAATAAAATATAAAAAATAAAAAAATAACATCAATGTAATATCCTCATTGATTTTAGATATATAATCTATTTTTAAGCATACAATATATATAATATATACATATAATATATGAATAATAGATATAAATAATATATGTATATAAAATTATTTTCTCTATATATAACTATCTTCTTTTTCGAGATATTTGCAAAAAATAATTTCCATTATTACATTGAATTTTCTCTACACGTGGTAACATATATGTGTAAGATGCTTTATTTATTATACATATGGTAGCCAGCACTAAAATATGCAGCACATTTTTGGTATTCAGTATATCATTGTAATTTCGATCGTCCAATTACATTTTATATTTTATTTTATTTTCAAATCCAATAAAAGTTTCAATGTAGTATCATCATTTTTACACATGGTTTGAAAATTAAGACCAATTACACACACACACACACACACACACACACATAGATATATTATTGAATTTTCTAAAGATTATTAAAAACTGAAAATGTTTTTAACAAAATTAATACTGTAATTTATTGAGATAAAATTATATATATTTATTTATAATTACACTATAATTATACTATAATTACACTATAATTATTTATATATAAAATAAATATTTAACTCGATTGTTCTTAAGAATCATTATCATTTATGAGGTAATCACACATTATAAATTCACTCAGTATAGAATTTTTTAACACTATAATTCGTAATAACAATGTTCTGTTAAATAAGTTCTATTATTCAACACAAACACATATTCCGATTATTCACACAATTGAATAACTTATTTCGTATTTTGTAAAAAATTTATTTATTAATAAATTATCAAACAAACTTTTAAACTGATTAAAATCGATCAAAAATATCGTAAGTTCACTCTCGCGTCAGCCATTCGCGAACTGTTCGTCAAGTCGTAAACCGTCTGCGGCCGTGTCGCATCATGGAATAAGCTTGTTTGTGACGTCATTAGAAGATAAGAGCCTTCATTATCTTGGCAGCGAGGGGGGCCGGCACGCGTAACGATTCTCCTACGATATTTCCAGCTGGCCACTTGCGACCAACTCGTCGCGACGCGTACATCGATGTTAACCGATATACGATTTATCACGACCGATTTGACACGTATCCATAACACTACGAGAATCAATCTCGCGTCAATCGGAGTTAACATAGAAAATAAGATCGAAAATAATCGATATCGGTAAGAAAGTATTCGAAAATATCGATCCAGTGTATTTAATTCGCAAGTATTCACCAAAAAGTGAATTATCGATGTGAAACCAAGGAAGTGTATACATGTAAAATATATAGATTTTAGTTTGTACACGTGTTCCAGTTATTTTCGTTATCGTTATCGTTACAAGGAAAGTTATCAAATCGTCCCAATTTCATCGACGCAGTCACCAGATATAGTATAGATACCGGCTTCGATCCTCGAGCTCAGCATTGCGCTCTTTTCCTTACATTAAAAAGCATTATCTCTTACAATTACAAGAAAACGCCGGCGCCATTATTGTTGACTCGCGCAATCAATCAACGCGACGTTTGAACTTTAAACGTCCAATAAAATTTGATACCCTCGTTGTTCTCGTGTTCGGACGTTGTGTTGCATTAATAAGCTTTTCGATAAGCGTAAGGAAAACATTACCGCCATTATTGTTGACTCATGTATAATCATCAGTCACTCGACTCGTGCAGAGATCGTTGTTTTAGAAATCTAGATCTCGAAGAACGTTCCATAACTATGAAGTCTCACGAGATTTGGGAGCGGAGCATCACCTTCATCGAGCACGAATTGCTTCCGGAAATGGTGCACGATCGGTACTTCTGCGAGCCAAATTCCAGGGAATTCGTCGAGTTCGACTCGGCCACGATTCGTCTCGATGAGCTGAGCCGAAGTAGCGAGATTTATCGCGTCACGGTTGTGGTCAAGTTCTCCGGCGAGCCACGTAGCTTCCCACTAGTTTTGAAATTGCTTCCAGAGGAGGGGGCAGAGCACACGGGCCGAACGGCGTTCGACGCGTTCCAGAACGAGGAAATGTTCTACTCGAAGATGGCCCCTAAATACGGGCCTGATTTGGTTCCAAAGTGTTACCTGTCCGATCTGGGTCGTTATGGAAGGACAGTGATCGTGTTGGAGGATCTGGAGAAGGATGATTACAAGCAGGTTGACGGTGAACTGGACGAGAATCATTTGAAATTATGCGTGCAAGTTTTGGCCAAGTTTCACGCGAGAGGGTTGAGGCTGAAGGATACCGAGCCAGGGATCTTCAGGGAGTTCGAGGCGAAACTTCTTGAAATTTCCCTCACCGAGGAGGCTATGCTCCATTATGAGAAGAGATCGACTAGGTAATTGATCCTTTCTTGGAAATGGTTGGAATGCTTGTGCTAATATTGTAAAGCAGAGATTTTGTTGGTATCTGTATATACATGATATTGTTTAAATGTTGGAAGGAGAGTAAGTAATATTTGAGTAGGGTTTGTCTTATCGAATAAAAAGTATATGGCACTTTTAGTAATATAATAGTTTTTAATATAATAGCTAGAATTTTAGAATTAATTCTTGAAGATGTTAGACATTATGTCTATTATATATTCTTCGATAATATATGATGTAATACATAATATATTTATTGATAATATTTTAGACATATTTTTAAATCTATAATAATTTAAATCTATAATAATTTTTATAATCTTGTTTTTTGAAAAGTTTATCTTGATTAAATAATATTTTAAATCACAAACTTTTAAATTAATTAATTCACATTCTAAGAAAAAACAAAAAGCTGTAGAAATATTATGTGATCATTAAATTTATAAATGTATGGTGATTGATAATCTCCAAAGTAGAAATATTTATTTATGCTTGCAAAAGAAATATTTTACTCATCGAATCTTTCTCATGATCAAAAATGTACTTTATCATAAAATGAAAAATATAAATCATGTGTCTAAAAAAATCCAAGAGAAAGATATTGTAACAGTATAATTTTTCTTCTCAATAATATATTGCTATAAACGATGACCAAACATCTTACAGCATCCGTTCTTTTCTTCTAATCATCAATCAAAATCTTTCTTTCATGTAATGAGGAAATTAATAAGGAACATAAATAATTATGAATCTTTGTAATTTTAATTAAGTCTTATTAATATTACTTAATAATTCCAATTAAATAAACAACATTTCATTTTTTCTTGCCGAAGAATATATAGTAACAGAGTAAGAATAGTTACAAGGATTATAAATTTTATTATGAGTTTTAATCAAACAATGTAAATTTAAAATTGTAATTTTAAAAAATCTTATTGTTATCATTGCTATCAATACTTATAATCAATGGGGTTTAATAAATATATTATTAAGATCTTAATATCTTATTAGAATTTTTATATCTTAAATTTTCTTTTAAACTTTATCTTTTAGTTTTTTTAATAAATAATTTTTAATAGATTTATGATAAAAGTTGCAAAAAAAAAATATCGATAAGAATTACGATTTTAAATAAAAAAATATTATAAAATATTATATTGATTTGAAAAGTTATTGGATTATATCAATTGTATATTTTTTCTTTGCATCAATAACTTAAAAATTATAAATTTTAAATTTGCAACTTTATTATTATAGTAAATATCTACATAATATAAAAGAATTTGCATTTCATCTAATAAAAAAGAGAAGATAAATCTGATGTGAAATTTATAAATTTATAAATTGTTCATTATAAATTTTTATTAGATTATAAAATATGTATATACATTTTTTATGTCTCTAATTATTATTAAAAAAATTATATTGTATTGCATACGTTATAATCTCATCGTTGATCGATTTAATATCACAGACTGGTAATATTAACATTATCGATGTCAGTACCAATGGTATAGCAATTTCTGTATTAGTGTAATAATCCAAGCGCAATTGAGCTGGACAGAATCCAAAATTGATCGAATTTGAAATCATCAACAAATTGATGTCAATCAATTAATAATTAATTTATTAGAAAATCTGAAGTTATGTCAAATATCATAATCTCGTGATTTCATTAATAATGATTTTAATTTTTTATATCTTGTAAGAATATTTCTTGAAATTTTAATTCATTTTCTCAATTTCGATTTATTATGAAGAAAAATTAAATAACAATAATAAATCTTAATAAATCTCATAAGACAAATCATTAAAAATATTTTATTTCATTTGAACTTTGATTAAAATTTTTTTATTACTCAGAATTCTCATGTACACTTACATATTGTAGATCAGTATATCTTTCGAACATATATATACATCTTACGTTGTTAGATCATGCAGTTCTTGGAATCGAATAATTAATTATAAATTTAAATTTTAAAATATAATATAATACTGCAAAGATATAATGTATTATATAAATTTTTATTCTTAATTTTATTTTATTTTCGAATTATTCCTTCGAAAATATACAATAAATATTGCAAGATACATACATACAGATTACAATAAATTTTTAATATATTATTATACGCAGAATCTCCTCTCTTCCTAATTATATATCATCAATTGTGAAAATCATGTTTCAAATTTACTTACCTTTCAAACTCTCTTCAAAAAATTATATAATCATTATGTAATAATAATTACGCAACACAACATATTATGTAATTGCAGAATGTTGGACATCCTTGAATCCTTATCGAACTCAGCCTTTGCCGAGAAGATGAAACGGAGATTAAACAAGAATCCAATGGAAATCGTGAAAGGTATCGTGACGGAGGTGAACGACGTTTCCACAATATGTCACGGCCATTTTTCACACGATAATCTGCTGTTCAAATATCAGAACGGGAAACCGATCGGCGCGAAGGTGATCGACTGGCAAACAATGAGATATTGTTCGCCGGCTGTCGATCTTGGGCCCATTCTACTGTATAACGTGACGCATGAGGATGGCTCGTCGAAGGTGCAGGAAATTTTGACGCTGTACATCGACACCGTCAGATCTGAATATCCTGAAGTGGACGGTCAACGACTCAGGGAAGATATCGTGGACAAATTCTTCTTTGCCGGCGTCGTTCTATCATTCCTAGATCACATTACTGACGAAGAACTTAATCGCGTTTTGTTACTTTTGGAACAATTAGACGATTTTAACTGAACTGTTTAATTTATTCCGATTTTAATCAATGATTTATATATTTCAGTGTTTTGTCTCTTTTTTTCTTTTTTTTTTTTTATTACTAGTTAATGGATTATTTTTGCAAAAGAAATAAAATATTTTAATGATATTTTAGATTACGAGTACGGTTGGTAAAAGTAATTTTCTTTTTGTTTTGTATGTCAATGAATTTAAAGTCATCAATGAAATTGATTCATAAAATATGATAATGATGTGTAAAATACGTGCAATGACTAATATTTTTAAAATTTATGAATTATAATGTTCGTTATAATGTTTGCAACGATCTTTGATAACGATTTTTTTAATCCATTAATTTTCATTGATCTCATAATTTATGATGATTTAATAGAATTAATTACGTTTTTTGTATGAAGATAAAAATGTGAAAAATATAATCTTAAATATAAGTCGTCTCCCTCATTATTATTGATTTCATAGGAAAATATTATAATATATTTTCTAATCTAAATAACTTTTCTAGAATCTTTTTATATTCTTTTCTTATATTCGATCGATCAATTATAAATTTATATTTTTATTTTCCAAATGTATTCGCTTTATTCTAAACACTGTAATAACAATTATAATAATAATATATATTTATTACATTTGTTTACATTTGCACGACAAAAGATTACCAGACTATATATATATATATAAATTTTATAAAAGATTTGATACTAATAAAATTATTATATCATTTTTTCCCTCCTCCCTTTCGTGAGCAACACTCATAAAGTAGCAGAACCATGAATTTTACTCGCGCAAGAATCAAGGCCAAGCGTTGGTTATGGCGATAGCGTTTACCTTTTGTACAAACGCATTCGAACCATTGAATTTGATTTTTCAGCGCGTATACGATACGCTTTGATCGGTGCGGAAAAATCGAAATATGGATCACAGGATCTCGCCTCTTTCTGCTACTCTCATCCCTCCTCTCTATGCGCACTCCATATGTCCGCAGCTGTTACGATACACAGAATACGTATCGGCGTTGTTCCGTGAAATGTAATATTACTTTCGCCCCGAATAATGTTGCAGATGAAAAATGTACTTCAACCTCGCTCTGTTTCGGACACGGATTTATGTACACGCAAGTTATATACACAACGCATCATACTTCTCACATTCATTATCCAGGATCAAACGATTCCCCTCTTCTTTTTTCTTTCAAATTTATACGCATGCGTCCAAATTTTGCGACTCGTCCTTCGATCGTTCACGTAAATCCACGTGGAATTTGTATTTATTCTGATGAAGATATTAAATTGATCGAATTAATTAATGATTTCAAAGAATATCAAATGTGCATTCGAAATAAAAAAAAAGTAAAAGTATTGTTAAAATATTTACCTGTTAAAATATTTACCTAGAATAGTATAGTATAGAATAACCTCTTCTCTTAGAAATCTTGTTCCATAAAGTATTTAAAATATTGATTCTTGTTCTTATTTATGTTAATCGTCCTTATCGGGATATAAACTTTAAAATACTTTCGATACTTTATAAAACTGTATTGTTCGAATATGATAACGAGATAAAATATATATATTACAATACAAATTTCGTTTATGTGATACTATTGACGAAATATCTTCCATCTAAACATCCATTTTCTAATATTTACCATTGAATGTTGTTTTATATAAAATAAAATAATAAGAATTATTTACGAACATATCGGAATTATCGATATTCCTAACCTCTTCGTATATATATCGAAATGTCATGAACCGATCTCTACTTAAATCTATAAACAAGAGAGAAATTTCGAATTTTAATAAAAAGAAAGATTCACGATTCAAATGACATTTCGTCGCAAAATATTTCGTCTAAAATGTCATTCTCATTCTCATAGATAATAAAAATAAAATACTCACATTTATTTTAATTCTAATACGTTTCTTCGAATTCTTCAGAATTCTCTGTTAGTCTTTTGATATTTTTTAACTCAATCCCTTATATCTACGTCTAATTCTGGCTCTGGTGGAGGTGGCGCTGGCTCTGGCGCTGGCTCTGGCGCTGGCTCTGGCTCTGGCTCTGGCTCTGACCTTCCCTCTGACTCTGGCTCTGGCTCCGATCTAGGAATCTCTATTGTTCGAAATTGTAATATTCTAGGTAGCGGTTCGTGAATTCGAGCTTGAATTTGGCTTCTTAAATTTCTACCGATATTTTGTATGTGTTGTCCAGAGATTGTCAAACAATATATAATAGCCAGGATTATGATTATTATGAGAGTAGAAATTATCATGCGACGAAAAGTGCATCTTGTCTTCATTGTGGCCTTTATGAGTGGTTTGCATGATGGTAGGAGATCCTTCGTTGCGATGTAACATTTTAAGGTCTGAGACGATGTGCTGCTTTCATTGCAATCGCACACCGCCTCCACTATAGAGAGACCCATTCACGTTTTTGGAATTTTGACGATTCGGGTGCCAAACGTTTAATTGTACACGCTGGATTTCGATTGCGGAAGTCGATAGTCTGATTTTATGCGCTCGTTGGTTTCTGTTCTGTGTGTGTGGCTTAACGGGTGTTCCTCGAGTAATCACGAATTATGCGAATATATATGTTCTATTGATTAAACGAAAGGCGAAATTTCTTTTTTTATTGTTATTTATGATTTTTAAAATATAAGAATAAAAGTTATCTTTTATAGTAACTTAATATTTAATCTTATTCATGACAAGTAGTAATTGCTTTCTAATATATTTAAACTGATGAACAAATTTTGTAACAAAATTTGTCTTGCAGATTATTATTTTCGTTGATTTTTGATTCGATAATTTACAACTTAAAAAATTTAATTGATTAAATAATTTAATAATTTTTCATTAATTGTAATTTTCATTTTTATGATTAAAAGCTTTTTCGCATAATTGGATTGTTAATATTAAATATGATAAATTTTCAAGAAATATAAAGTACTTTTATAATAAATAAATCAATTATGTGGCTGTTTTAAATCTACAATAAATTAAATAAAGTAAAATATATGATGGATGGTAGAAAAGCGTAGGTATAGTTCATTAATTATTTCATGAAAATATTTTAAGCCAGTCTTCCTTGAACTGATCAAAATATAATTAATGATATAATTTCCAGATATCATTAAAGTAACTGTATTCTACGTTACAATTCTACTAATTAATTATTTTATTTCTATTTTCACATCCCATATTCTTTTATTTTTACATAAATTCAATTTGGAAATTTCAATTAAACGTTTAACAAGACATAGAAATGATGTATCTATTTCAGTTATTACATTATAAAACAATATACTTAAGATATATGATATATCTATATTAATGTCACTGAAAGTGATACAAAAAGTGACAGTTACCAATTAATAATAGATATATTCAATGTAAATAAAAATAGTTTTTTAAATATACGATGAAAATATTTTAAAAATTCTATTTTGTAGTAACTTAACGTTAAATATAAAGTGTACAATTATATTTTTATCTTTTATTCATATATTTATCTTATCATTAAAAATTTGAATTTATGTATTCATTTTAGGTTACGAATTTTTACTATTAACATTTTTTTTCTCTTTTATATCGATGTATGTCTTCTTTGTTTTTGTATTGTATTTTATGTTGATTCAATCAGTATAAAAAATTTTTAATAAAATTACACATAATAATTACACATATATATGTTTATCTTAATAAATAATTTTTGTACAAAATCTATTTACAATACACAAACATAATTTATATTAAATTATTTATAAATTATAAAAATTATGTATTATTTATAAAAGTTCTTTTTGAGGTTTTGGTGATTTAAAATTTTTTTCATAAATCTTATTTAATATTACATGTACATTGTAAAAATTGCATAATGATTTGAATTTGAATTAGTGAAGCGAATGGAATAACGCAATATTTGTTCTTTTATTATATTCTTCACATTATACTTTCAAAATGAATTTATTAAATATTAAATTCTATAAATTCATAAAAAGAACAAATTAATTAAAAATTATGATATTTATGCTACATGTATAATTAAAAATATATAATTAAATAAATTTATTATATTAATTCTGTTTTAGGTCACAGATTCTAAAAAGAGCATACGATATATAACTGACAAATATTAATTTTAATTTATTTTATTTAAATAAAATTAGTTAAACATTGTATAATAATAATGTACTTCGTAATAAAGTAAAAATTATATTTATTATAACAATATCTTTTTTAAAAAACCTATGAGAAATACAATATTACATTATTGAATTTGAAATATTGTAACATTATACTACTAAACAGGCAAATAAAACGAAGAGAAAAAAAGTTAATTCATTAATTCATTTTTCAAAAAAATACTTACATGTAGGATAATTTTAGAATACTCCATATTTCAAAAAACATCTAAAATTTAAATATTTAAAAACTATTAAATTAGAAATTATTTATTCTAAAAAACATATAATAATCAATAGAAATATAAAATTTATTTTATGAGAATATTAATAAATATGAAACAATAAAATAATAATTTTTACAAATGATACTGTATTCTTAATACATTATGATATAACTACAATTTTAAATTGGATCAATATCGATTTTAGTTAAGATTTTATGGAAATAAATATAAAATTCATAAAATATAAATATAAATTCATGTTCAATTGCAAACATATATATGGAATTATTTAGATTTGATATATCATTTCTTATATGCCAGAGACACGAATGTGTAAATTGTCTGTTTAAACGTAAGACATAAAATAAACATTGTTTTTTTACATTTAATATTAGTTGACAATGATAGAACAATGTTTTATATTCAGTTTTGATTCTGAACTAAAATACTAATATCAAAAATAGTAATTATCTTCTTACATTTTACATTTAAAATATAAGCTTCCATTCTATATTTAAATTCAAAATCTAATTCTAAAATGATAATGTAATTAATAATTACTTTTATAGATTGATACAAACTAAAAAAAAAAAAAAAAATCATTATCATAAAACATTAACATACAATATGTCATATTTAATTAGTTTAATGAATACATATTTATCAAAAATTCTGAAAATCATTATATTAAACTTTTATTATTTATTTTAAAACAATTTACTTGTTTTGATGATAGTAGCAGTGTAGTTGTGTTAAACGATTAAATTTACGAAATGCAATCATCACATGGAACAGTTTCTTCCATTCAATATGGCGCAAATCTACTTATTATTAAGACATTTGCGATAGAATTTGGTAACGTCTTGACATTAATTAATTGTTTACGATACTTTATAAATTAATTATAATTTTGATATAGCTTTTCTCTTTATTGGAACTTTAAGCAAAATTTAATAATCTTGAAATTTACATCAACTGGTCATATGGATAATGACTTTATAAATAAAACGTAAATATTCTATAATTATGTTATATTATTTATAAGTGTAATGATAAATTATGGCTATTAAGAAATTTTATCGAATATTTTATTATATTTTTATGAGCATAATAATGAATTTCGCGAATATTAAGAAAGCAAATTATTTCAGGTTGAATTCAACAAGAAATATTATCTTTACGAGATGAAGTTTCATAGAATAAATATTAATTTAGTATTGGTATTTCAAATGTAGTAGATATCTATTTGTATATAATCTGATTATTTTAAAATATCAACTGAATCCTGATTTAAATATCTGATATTTCTATTCGAGACTTTGTTTAAAATCTTTAAACATATTTAGAAATGAATTAAGATTGATTTGACATTTTTCAATTGAGAGCAGAGAAATTTTTAAAAAAAACGAGAAGAATGTTGATAATGAATTTAAGACATTTATAATTAAAAATATAATACTAAAATATCCTATAGCTTGTCACAATAATATTTGAAACAAGATACATTAAAAGTTTAATGCGATTATCTGTATCACCTCGTTTCAGTACTTTTTCTAGATTAAGACTTTCTAGAAAAGACTTTTTCTAGAAAAAGACTTAGTTCATATGAAGTCAATAAAGGAAGAAATAGAAAAAGACATAAGAAATAGAAAAGAAAGAATAAAAATGACATACATACGTACTAAAAAATATTTTCCTTAATCTCAGAAAATACATTAATTATATATTTGTTCAATTTGTTTTTTAAAATTTTATTTTCTATTATTATTCATATAAAATATATTCATATAAAAATTCATTTTATATAATTTATATAAAATTGTGAAAAAAAATATTATAATTAATTAAAAACAAGAGAAAAAAAATAGTGAGGAAACAAACAGAAAGAAAAAAAAGATGGAGGAAATTAACTGAACAGAAAGAGGAAAAAACTGTGACAGAGCGAATGGCTAGGACATTCCATATGAAAAAAAGTACGAATGTTATTAACACTATGCATCATGTACCTATACTAGATAGAAATATAAAAACTTTTTATAGTTTTAAAGATAAATCAACAGAATACTGAAACTTAATTTTTCATCATAACTTTTGATCTTTCTTAAATTTTGTGCAACAATCTTATGAATAATAATATTGATGACAATTCTTATATTGAAAATCGCAAAAATTGCTTTTTTTTTTCACATTAATAATTATCGATATCTTTAAATTTTGGAAATATTTTAGTTAATTAAAATAATTTTATAATATAAAAAGACATATAATGATTTTTTAATTAAAAGAAACAAATCTCATTAGACAAATAATATAGATATATATTATAGGTATATATTACATAGGTAAATGTATCATAGATAGATAAATAATAGACAAATTATGATATTTAAATACAAGTGTAGTAAATGAAATTGAACTTCAATCTAATGTAATTTCTAATATATATTTTTGTACTTTTAAATATATTTTATATTTGTGTATATATTTAATCATTAATATTTTTATCTTCTTTTTTCCATTTCTTTCCAAGAAATTTCTTTTTTATGGACTTCTTAACTAACATTTTCATTTTGTAAATTTCACATTTCGAACGATTTATATTAAAGATATTTTCAAAATCTATACGATATTTTCTAACAGTAAGATTGCTATTATATGTTCTTTTAAACTATTGACGATTGTACAATTTATCGATAAATTAGATAATAATAAATTCAACAAATTTTTGGAATCAACGCCATGCGTGAAAATTCTAACTCGTTAATAGAAACACGGAATGTGCAAGAAGATATTTGTAACATCACAAACAAAGAAAGCAACATCAAGAAAGTAATATTGAAAATTAATTGACTAAAAATGTTTTACTAAAAATTTTATAGTTGCATTTCGACATTTGAAAATATTTAAATCAAAGATGATTATTAATAACTCTAACTCTAGATCCAATGATGATCAGCACATCATTTAGAATATATTTTTCAAAAAGATCTCCAAATCACTTGAAATAAAAAAATGTAAGAAAAATTGTTTGCCTGAGCCTCAAAGAGGTTTGTTAAACACATAAAAAAAATCATATTTAGAAAGGATGATTTTTTGAAATATTCAATTAATTACTTGAATTTAGATAACAATTTAGTTTCACATACCTCTCATTAATTTGTCTGAGTATTTATCTTGAAATACACTAAGTTAATCATTAAAAAATCATAGTAACTTGAGCAAAGTATCCAAGAGAATTCAGTAACAAAAAAAAAAAAAAACAGAGAACACAAAAGATGAAATATAAAACACATAATACATCATATAATATATATACATCAAAAAATTTACAGTTCAAAAAATAAATAAATTTAATTGAATATCTATGAAACTAATGGTTTTTTGCTACAAGTGGTCCCATACATTTTTATAGACAATGCCAAGGTGCATGGATTGGTGTATTAAAATATATACGAAGCAGTTTAAAAAAATATAGTTGAGCCTGATAATTTTTTTATGCGTTCATCTACAAAAAAATTGAGAACAGCATGGTACAGCCCTTTCGAAACCATACAACTTTTATTCGAAGAATTTTTTGATATTATGAAGAATAAACGTGGTATTTAATAAAAAAGATCGCGATCGAAATTCCCCCAGCGATTGAAAAATTTTTGTCCAGAAATTCGATTTTGTATCAGGAGAACATGATATGAGAGGAGGTCGATCGAAAAATTTTTCCAAGAAATGACGTCAAATTCTCGGAATCTCTAAAATTCGTAGAAATGACGTCAAGTTCTGGGAATTTCTAAAATTCTTGGAACTGATGTCAAATTCTTGGAAATTTCCAAATGTTCGAACAATGAAACGAAACTTTTGGCCGAAAATTCGATTTTGTATTAGGAGAATATAATTTAAAAGGAGTTTTTACGCATTTATCACACACTCACCGTTCTGATACTTACTTTTTTACCATTTCTCAGATTATTGCCATTTTTTTAGAGCTTCAAACTTTTTTCTTTTCACAATTTATAGAAATTTAGATATTTACTCCTGGCTTACTAATCTGATACAATGAATGCTGTAATTTTTAGTGTGTTTTTTAACATTTTTAAAGTTTTTAAAGCTCTCTATTTTTATTCTTTGAGATATCTCGGTTCTTTTTGATAACCGATTACATAATAAATTATACCGGGTGTCCGAATAGAATTCTCTGACGTATCTCGCTTGTTTTTGGAAATATTAAAAAATATTTCAAATAAAAGTTACTTGATTTGTAGGGACGCACATCCTGTAATAATTCATTTTTTTATACATAGAAACGTAAACGGTATATATTTATATATATATTTATAGAAAGACACTTTTTTCTTTTGAATAGAATTATATATTTTTTAATAGCTCAATTGATGTATCTTAACATTCTCTGTAAAAAGGAATGAATCTGTATATATATTCTTTGTTTTATATTAAATAATTATTAAATAAGTTTTAACTTATTTATGTTTAGGAGAACTAGAATAGAAAACAGAGAGAGAATATGTAACTGTATTAATCTACTATAATACTAATCTACTGTAATTCTTATCTAAAGTAGATTAAGACAAGCACGATTGGAAAAAATAAAACCTTTAATATAAGTAGACTTGATTAATATTATTTTTTTTATTATATTTTAATTATTTTTAGTTGTATCTATTTATTTTCAATAAGTTATATCTATGTTTATGAATTTTATTATCTTTATATAATCTATATCTGCCTAACGTATAAGTGTCATCAATGATTATATAGATATAACGTTGCTATTGCAGTTAGTTATATTTTACTCCCGATTCAATAATATAGCGTGTTAATACATTTTATTAGTACCTTTTTATCTATATATACAGTTCTAGTATCTATTTATACAGTTTTTCGGATTTCGTTTTTAATAATAGCTAACATTCTCTAATTTATATTTGAAATAAAACGAATATAAGGACTTAATGGTAGTGGTAATGTATAAATTTTCTAAACTCAAAATGGAATGTTCGAGTTCATCGAAGAAAATATAATTGAACCGAATGACACGAGAAAGATTTCAAGTTTAAGCACTTTGCACTTGGAGGAGAAATTCGATTCATGACAAATTCAAATCTTTCGTATCTTCTCATGTGTAATTCATAGCGCGTTCCTGAATTATAAACTTCTGTTACGAATTCTCGCGATCTAGTTGAAAATGTATTTAATTCTATTTTTGAGGGAAGACATTAATTGTTAGCACGCGAGCTGAAATATTAATTTGATTTAAAACGAAAATTGCTTTTTTATCTTATTTCAGATGCATCCACTTATTTTATATTTTAAGAAAGATTAAAATAAACGATGCATCTAAAAGCATTTTTTTATATTATAGTTTTCATCGTCCGATTGAAAATGAACGATCAATCTATGATCGATCGGTGTAATGTTTCGTTTCTCATGCTGCTAAGTAATTTAGTATTATTAAAAAAAAATTTATAGTAAAAAAAAAAATTTTGTTTATAAAACTAAGAATATTATCATCAATTTTTATTAATTATTATGTTACGTTACATTACAGCATGAAATTTAATCTGAAAATATGTTTATCTTATTTTAATATGTAATTTTATTAGATATAATATTTTTTATTAATTAAATTTATTGTTTATATCCAATATATAATGTCTTTTAAGATGATCTGATCTATTAATAAGATTGCTAAGATAAAGGATTAATTGCTTATTGAATTTTGAAATTTTTCCTTTGATATATTTTTAAATCTTTATGTATTATCGTTTCATTGATTATATATCAAGAAATTCGATAAAGCCTTAATGCTTTAGACTGAACTGGTTATAAAATTTCAATGTTAGAATTCTTGGCTATATCTCACAATTGAATCCATATTGGTTTTATGATAATATTATATAAAAAATAATTAAGTAAAAAAATAAAATAATATGACGTATAAATAAAGTAAGCATTATACCGATCGATAATTGATTGATATTCGTTTTCAATCTGATAACGAGAATCGGACAATGTAAAAAAAAAAATATTAATAAGTTATAACATTAATAAGTTATAAATATTTATTGTACTTTTTAATTTCTGATTGAAAAATTTTAATCATTATTATTTAGCAGAGAAATAAATATTATAAAGAAGAAAGAAAATTGGAAAAAATGATGATTTGAAATAATGAAAAATGATGCACTTGTACGTCAGTTTGAATTAGTTAAGATGCTGGTTGATAGGAATTATCTGGAACATCGTTGACAAGCTGGGACAGATGATCTTCCATTGGTTTCTCTACGAGGTAAATGTAAATTTAGATAAGTCACTTTGGAAGTTGGTATACGGGGTGTACGTGGGGTATGGCAGCTTACGCGACCGCAGTAGTGCAACGTAGAACAAAACGGCTCAGTTCTGATATCTAGCTCTCGACTGTGTTGCGCTATCCACTTCGAAAGTTAGCTAATTTCGCTTTAGACCGTGTTCCATGTTTGTGTCTACCCGGTCACGCTAAAAGTTTCTTACTTAGTTCTTTAAAGGTCAATGTAGTCGTGTATCTATCTGAATGTAGATTGATAAGTACATATTAATATACTGTGATATTTACTCGTATGTTTCATATTTATTTGTATCATGAATATAAAAATCACTTATAAAATGTATAAAAAAAAAAAAATTTATTATACTTTTATGAAAAATATAATTTTTTGAATTTTAAGTGTTAATAAATAAAATGAATTGAAAAAGATTCATTCATTTATGCGTGAAGTATTTGTTCATCTTTTTAATGATTTTAATACAAAGAAAAGAAGATTTTGATTTCAAATATGATTCAAAAGATTCTGAAAATGCTATATAGTAGAATTTTACTTATATAAATCTATCAAAGCAGGAATAGAACTCTATCTAATTCCACTTATGATTTTTCAATTGATAGTTTATACTGATATAAAAAGATTTGAATGAGATAATTTTATATCTGTTTATAAATATAATATATATATTTTTAATTATATTTCATTATAAAGGGATTTATACAAGTGATGATGCTTAGCACTTTAAATAATAGGAGCTCAGTTTATGCAATTAGGCATTATGTAAAATTTTATTCATATTAAATAAAGTTTTATTGTATCTTAAAATTTCATTGTATTCTTAATCTTTAAATAATTATAAAATTTAATTCTCGATTATTTATCTCTTTAAAAATTTTATGCTTATACGTTCACTACCAAATATTACAGGGATATATTTTAATTCATCCTCTACTTTAGATAACAAGCACGTACTTACTGAACAAGTTATTTCGACTTTGGTAATACTTAAAACTTTCTTATCTTATCATTTTCATTACTGATAGTACCAGTATGAATTCCTTGTAAGATAATGTTTGGTTATTTTTTAATTAATATCTAATTTTAATGAAATATACATATTTATATTCATATATTATTTTATAAGTGTTTTAATTTAAATTCATTTTCTATCTTCAAAGTCATTTCAAGGTTATAGTTTCATAAGTTGAACTTATCTTGACATTGACTAAAACGTCGTAATAAAATGGTAGACAGAGAAGGCGATAAATAATCTTAAATAATTTTTACAATGATCTCGAAACAAACTTTTTTTATTGAAAATATATATTTTTCTCTGTTATTTTTTTTATTTGCAATGTAATGAAAAAAATACGTAAATAATATTTATACATGTACGTTTTGCAAATTAATCAAATGTCTTAATTGAAAAATGTCATCAAGAAAATTCTTAACTTTCATAATATTATATGTCAATTCTATGTAACTTATCATAAATATATGATGAAGTTTTTTCAAAATTTATATTTAAACTTTATGTTAATTAATTTTACATGTATAAAATCCTGATATTAGCACCACATAGATAATAATACCGTGAACCAGTGAAACAGAGTAATCTCCTCGATATCTCCAGTTAATACCGAATCGCCCACATTGAGTTAGCTAATTTTGCCTTAGGTATTGCAATATTTACAGCATTGGTCCAAATTATTTCAATTCTCTAAGGTATTATGAATATATTGTATATTGTATATTGTACCAATAAACGAGATAAAATATTAATATAATACGAATATATTCCTTTTATGAATTTTTAATTAATTAATATCTCTACTTACATAAAATATTTTGTATTGTTAAAAGAGTTAATGAACTCTACATTCTTGGATGATTTCTACAAAATCATCATAATTTTTGTAAATTTTGAAATCGATAAATTTTGATTTGACTCAAAAGACAATAATATTGCATTTCATCACTGACATAATTAAAAAAATATATAACGTGTAATATAATTAATTAAATTTGAAGCTAATCAAAAACAATTTTATCTATATTTCTTTTCTATTTGAAATAATATATCACATTCATGTTATATTATTTCAAAACTTGTATTAATTGATTATTGCGATAAATGTCGAAGATTAATCCCTTTTCACTTAAATTAAATCCACGTATTTAGATGTTACAAAATAAAATATTGGATATCTTATTATTTTTTAACCAAATTATTGCTTACGATTACTTAAAAATTACAATTCGTAAATTAACAACTGACTTGATACTGCAATCAATAAATTTAAAAGAAACATCAAAAAATCTTTGAAAGAAAAAATGTTTCGAAAATCTTATTTTAAAAAATAACTCAAGAAAAATTAACATATGGATGATTTAATATCTCGAACAAGATCGAACAAAATTTCGTGTTCATCGTTGAAAGCAGACTATAAAACGTTAAACCAGTTAAACTCGTAAAATTCTAGACTTAACACGGATTACCCATACGGCGTATCTATTATATCCGTATTTGTACCACGATAAATGACGTCGATAATGGTGAAAGCTTGTCCAGGCTTTGATATTTATTACACGCCGTGATGTTAGTTGTCTTGCTGCAAATCCTGAGAACCGATGGGCAAATATATACGTATATTTTAGTTGGCTTTTTGCTCTCGGACGATCGTCCTGGGACGCATGTTGTCAAATATTCCGGGTAGCGCCCCTCGAGGCCTGTTTCTCTTCGAGACTTGACTTTGGATTCATCTCTCGACCGCCTTGTTTTCTTCCATCCCCGAAGAACAACTTTCGCGACAGCCATCCTCAAATATGGCGACAGCTCTTTTGACCAGGCGAGACTGGATATTTGAAATATAAACCGTGCTATGTCGAATAATTCGCTATAAGATTCAACGTGTTAAATAACACGGTAAGTATTGTTCATGGGATAAATGGACTTGATGGAGAGGTCGGATGGTGTTTAATATGCATAGGATAGATAATTAGATGCGATATGATTTCATCCGTGAAGGTATGAAAGGAAATTGTTACAAAAGAGAAAATGGAAAAAGAATAGTGATTTTTTTTCTTTTTATTAATTTATTAATTTTATTTGGAATTGGGGGAAAAAGATTTGCGAGAAGAAAGATAGAAAGATGATTATTTACAAGAATAAAACCCTCTTTCAATCGATTTTAATGATTTTTTTCATATGGAATTTTTTTTCAATTATCAAAGTTTGTGTAATGTTGTGAAGATTTTATTTGACAATCATTTCTTATTAAAAAGTTATTAGCTTATTTTTATAATCAATCTCGAAAAATATAAAAATATCTAGAAATTAAATAAATTTTTGTTTGGCATCAATTAATTTATGTTGATTTTAAATTTAATTTCATCTCAAGTGGTATTTTTTTTAAAAATATTTATCAAAAAATATAATATATTGCGCAAATTGCGATGGAAATTAGTTTTAATTTGTGTCGACGTATTTTTGATAGTTTAAATATTCATATAATTTAAATGTATTAAGTTAAATCAATTTTTTTAAATATTATGACTCAAAATTATTACGTAATTTTTTTTTGGATAAGAAATATGGATTATTTTTTGATTTTGATCACATTAAAAAAGTTAATTAAAATAGTTGAAATTTATAATGAAATATTTTAAATATCAACTTCATCAATTTTATATGTTTCTTTTTCTTCCTCTTTCAGAATTTCCTCTTTCATTAACTATAATATTTTTTATTATCACTTTTTTATTATCTTAATTATATAAAATATTATATTTTGTATGCAATATTACATCAAATTTAAGATTACATTAAATTAAAGATATCAAAATTTGAAAGATGAATTTATGAAGATTTTAAAGTATCGTTTTATTTTCTCAATTGACATTTTTTTTTTAATAGATATATATTTATTATATTATATATTATATTATATATATATTATATTATACTATATATATTATAAAATATATTATATTATATTATATATTATATATATATTTATTATATTTATTATTATAAAATTATTCGTTTTTCTTGAGTCTGAAATGAAAGCTGAAAATTAAAAATAGTGACAAAAAACCTAATAAAATACCAATCAAATTATTAAAAAATTATAAATAATGTAATTTGTTTTTCACCAATATGATCAAACGTGTAACAAAACAGTTTAAATATCTTTATAACAAAGGCTATAATTTCATGTTTTACGAAATAAATTTGTTATTAAATTGATTTCTCCACAACAAAGGACAATAATGATAATTCATTGTCCTTTATTGCATATAATCAACTTCATTGTCATTAATTTGTCACTGAAGATGTGACTATGTAACGTTACGAACACAAAGATCCATCGTATACGTGTATTTAATTGAATTCAACCAAGTCACAAAGATCCATCGTATACGTGTATTTAATTGAATTCAACCAAGTCAATTTTCACTTGTGTCAACTGTACAGACATGTTTAGTCAAGATGCCAATAAGTCGTTTTGTCTTTGTGGTTTCATCCGTCACGTATCGTGCAACTGGTAAACGACCGGAACATCGGCTTTGTGATCATTGAACACAAAACTGATAGATCTTTCTCACAATGTATGAAATGATCAAATGTGCCGTAGTTTTTTTAAACTAATATATTTTTAAGCTCTGAATTCGATAGAATTTGAATAAATATTGATAAAATGATATAATCTTTCGATCACGATGATTTTTTTTTTATATTATTAAGATGATATATATTAAATGAAATGTTGTGAAGGTTTTACTTAATGATCGTTTATTAAGAAGTTATTAATTTGTATCTAATATAATCTAAATTTATATCAAGATTTTGTAAATAATTATATCATATTTTGATTTGTAATATAGTGTTTGTTTTTTTCGACAACTTTTCTTTTTATTTTCGAATAAGAGGAATTATTGAATGAAAGTTGAAATTATAAGAACTATTCATGATGTGAGATTCATGTTATGTTGTTTTAAGTTTTATGATTTTCAAAAATAAGATCGAAAATAAATAAATAAAAAACAAATTAAAAAAATTGTTTAAATGAAATTTTTATTTTATTTTATTTTTTTGTTTCTTTTTTCGTTTTAAACGATACTGTTTGAATAATAATGTATTTGTAAAATAAATTAAATTTTAATATTTATTATTTTATTTCGTATCTATTATTTATTTCCCTTTATTGATTATTTGAAATAAAGCATTTGATAAATTAATCACTTGAAAATAATTTATTTGTTAAATAATATTTTACAATTTATTTGGGATAAATTTATTATTTTCAAATTTTTATTCCAAATAAAACGATTTTATCAAAAAATCTTTTAATAAAGATAGAAATGTCACAAAATTTTTTTATTATCATAATACTTGAATATTTCTTCTTGATTTTCAAATAGTTGATTATCGCGATCTTATAAATATTTAATCACAATTGCTATAGGATTGGTAATTTTCATAGTTTTAATAATGGTGAAAAGACTTTTCGAACTCGAAAATTGAAGTTATATGGCATAAGACGTAGCGAAGTTTGAAATTTAAATCGGCTTGAAATTACAAGAGCTACTTATGGTAAAGATAAAATAAAAATAATCCTTTGGCAAGAGTTTAGAATTTGTAAATGTAGATGTAAATGTAAATGTAGATTTTGTGCTGGAATCTATATGGTTGGAAAAGATGAATGTCATAACGAATAATATTAATAAAGTTTGAAATAGAAGAGAATTATATTATACAATGTATACATCATATAATTACATAAGACGAACGATATATTATATTTAGGATTAATAGAAACTTCATCCTTATATATTTTTATATTTTCTTGAAAAATAACAGAAGAATAATTAAACGAGCCAATTTTGTAAAAATATTTGTCAAATACGTGCTCATAACGAATAAGGATCGTGATAATAAATGAAAGATATAAGAATTATGTAAGTTAATCGACTACAAATGGTTTTAAAAATACAGGGATACAGAGAAGTATCTCGATGTGAAAATTAAGTTCACGTTTTGTTACATTATAAGTTTGTAAAATATATCATCATCTACAACGTGCTGAAACATAATTTTCCATGGTTTAAGACCATGGATAATCTTCGTCGAAAGCACAAAGAAGAAAAAGTTGGGGAAGGGGATGAAGCTAACAGCTTAATGCAAAATATCGCGGATAGAGACTATAGAAATATTTTCATAAAAGATTTTCTTCAACATTCCCTTTATTATTCCCCCTTTTTTTTTATTTTGACCCTTTTGCATGCACAAGAATATAAAAGCTTTTAACGTGCTGCATTTCACGTAGGTGTTCTTAATTCTCCAGGAGAGAATGTTTTCTTGAAACGTTGAATTTTCATGGCGACATGTTTTTGCATACATATACGAGGCTCCCCCCCCTCTTCCCGGGGAAGAGGAGTTTAAGATATGTTTATCATCGTATCATTTTTATTATTATACTTTCGTGTTTCTTTTTTTCGTCAGCTGCGTTCCTCCACATTGACCACGTTTGGTTCCGTTACATTGCCTTCACATTTTATTACAGTTCCTCCACTTTTCGCCATTCCATTTTATGCTAGTCATACATTACAGTAATGTTGCAAACGCAGGGGCGCAATATGCGAATTGGATGTATCTCAACTCGATATAAACGTCATTCCATATCATTTGAATCGAGCCTTCCACTCATGATTGACATCTCTTCATCAAATATTTCAGATCATTCGTCGTTAATCACATCAAATAGTGATGAAATATTGATTTATGATTAATCAGCTTACATCATAATTAATTCATATTCCCATATATATGTATGTTTCCATTAACTGTCATATATAAAAATCAAAGCTCTATTTAAAAATATGAATATTTGTTAAAATCATAATATTTATTTTATCTTTATTTTATTTATTTTTTTCATGCTTTTATATTATTTGTAATATCGATGACATTAATGTAATCATGAAATTTTTTTTTATTACATACAAAATGTGAATATATTCATGAGACATTTTTGGAAAGTCAATTCTAGAGGCCAAAAGAAAATTAATATACAAAAATGTTGATTTTTTATTGAAGATTTGTGTTAGATAAAGAGAGATGATGAACGAGATTGCTCTATTTTCCACCATCATACACTGTTCCCTCTTCATCTAATGTAAACTTAAATTGTTCATAATTTAATAAATAAATCTCAAGTTATATTTTAGTATATCATACTACATAATAGATATTTTATATCATTTTTTACAGAGTTGTTATCATATATACGTTATGATGATCATTTTCGTGAAGGGTCAATTCGTATGAGGATAGGATGATCTTTGGAACGTGTTGAGGCGAGAATCGAGCTGCTAGTAAAGCTGCAAACGAAGACGATAGAATAGGTAAATGATAAATATTTTAAGATATACTCGGCGAAATGAACTCGTAAGTTAGATATAAGTCAGGTTTCAGGTTACTCAATGATCGCTAAAACTAATCACGTAAAATATACAATATTACTTAATTATTAAAAACTTGTTATTTAAAATATACAAAATTCAACTTTCTCTACTCTTTCCTCTCTTTCGTTGTTTAAGGATTTATTTTGAGATCTCTGAGATCTGTATGGAGCAGGAATTTCGCGATTATTTACATGTTTGTAGTAATTATATTAATATTAATAATATTAATATTATATTATAATTATATTAATATTAATAACAATAGTAGTAATTATATTAATATTAATAACAATGATACTTGTAATTTTTCAAATGTGTATATATATATATATATAATAGATAATATAAGTTCGATAAAAAAATAATGGTTTCTACAATGGAATGGAATAAAAATGTCGAATAAATTATATTTGGAATTTTTTTTAAATAGAATATACAAAGAATTCCTATGAAAGCAGAAAAATAAATCTGAATTCGAATAAAATTTGGACCTATAATTATTTTTGAAAAGACATAAAATGTTTTTTTTATCAATCACAAATCTATTCTGTGTAAGTAATTATAATTATTTTGATTTTTTAAAGGATAAATTGAGTATAATAAAAATTAGAATGCTAAAAGCTTTTTAGAGAAAAATTCATTTTCTCGGTTAAAATAGGTATATTATTTTTAGATTTGTGAAACTATCATTCGACATGCAAACAAAGTATAAAGTTTTTTAAAATGTGTTGAAATATTTTAATCATGGATAATACGGATAAATATTTCATATAAAATATAATTTGTTTTTGTCACTTATTTTTTAATTTACAGTTTCAATAAAAAATATTAAATATAATAATAGATATATTTGTAATTATCATTATTATTTAATTATTAATCATAAAACATGTAATTTTGATTGCATTCGTAGAAATTTTAATTAAATAAATTTTTTATGTGAAATAATATTTTCTTTTTGATTTGTATCTGAAAATTTTTTAGATAAAATAAAGTAAAATAAACGAAATAATAATAATAATAAAAAATAATAATTTCAATAGATAAAAATATGATAGAAAGTTAAAGTTGAAAATTTTAAAGTTAAAAATTGAGAAAATTTTGAACAAAAACATAAATTTATTATTTACAAGAATTTCAAATGTAAATTACAAAAAGACAATAGATAAAAATGAAATTTAAACTGTGTTATTTTCAATTACTTATTTATAAAATTATTTATTAGCATTTTCAAAATTTTGCTATATACTTTAGTGCAAATAAAATATTTACATATACAAAAAATACAATAAAAAATAAAACATTTTTCCAGATATACTATCTTTATATTAGTAAATTTTATTATTTAAAAATTGCATTTTTAATTATGCAATTTTTATTGAAACACTATTTTTCATAAAAGTCTTTAATATCATAATACCATCCTGTGGCTCCCTCTTGCATTAAATCCTTAAATTATTACAGAGAAAGAGAGAGAGAGAGAGAGAAAGAGAGAGAGAGAGAAAGAGAGAGAGAGAGATAAAATGATTCAAAAGTTCAAACGAGAAATTGATTAAAAAGCACGATTTAAAAGCTCGATTCATATTTCATACAACAAGAGAATTTGTTAAAATATATTCTTGTTGTGCTTTTCATTCACTTGCCATCAACAAACATGCTTTTATGATCACGCGATTTTAGATGTAATTTTTTTCAAGAGGAGGCGTCCGGTATCTGCGTGACTTGGTTTCAACTATGTTATTCCAATAAAAATTGCAATCACGTACCTTCACTTGTATGGGCTTTCGTGACTTTTTATTTTTGAAGAAGCGAGATCGTAGATACAGTTAAATTGTTGCTTCATTAAATATAGTGATGAATTTAATAATATTAATTCAACACTGTAAGAACTAACACAACTGTAGAAAAATAATTTTTCAGAAGATAAAAAAAGCTTATTTTTTTATGATTCAATTATTATATTGGAAGAATTTAAATATTTCTAAAATTAATAAAAATTTTAATTAAAAAATTAATCATTTTGTATTTATGTCGTTTGTTTTAAACCATAAATATTTTTTTTAATAATAATGATCTAATAATTAATTAAATCTTATTAATGAAATCTTTTTATTTAAATTTCTTGTGATCTATATTTATAATTAATTTAATGAAAATAAAAAGATAGAATAATTCAAAATATAATGTTATTTTTCAAATGTTCTTTTGCATTTTAATTTTATTATTTAAATTTTCTCTTGTATCAACTTTTTGTATTTAGATTGAATTAGCATCAAATAATTGAATAATAAACGCATTTTAAAATATACATTTTATATATTATTTATATATATATGTAAAAGATAAAACGAGAAAAGAATAGAATGAGATGGCAGTGTGATGAAGACAGAACGGTCTCACTCTCTTTTCATTTCACTTTATCTAATTACTTTTAACTTTCTATCTCTCAAGTATTTTATAAATATATTAAGATCATAGTTGTAAAGGTAAGCAAATTTTTCAAGATCGACTTTCACTAAAAATCGAAAATATTCATCGCTTTTGATTTATTTTCACACAGGAGAAATCATTTTTCTCCCTGGTTTATATTATCCATTCCCCGGCATCCTGTAAATTCGAAATCTTTTTTAGCAAGCAATTTCCATGTTCATTCAATCGTAAAGCAAAACCTTCCCCTCGAATACCGATTCCACTCTTTTCCCATCAAATATCGTGCGGCGAAAAATCTCACGAAATTCGCGACGCACCGAACGAATAAGGAATATATGTATAGATATTCGTGATGAAAACGTGAAAGTACACGCAAGTTCTCGGTATGTAATTTGTGGATGAAAGCAAGAATATATCCCGTCTGCGACTATACATTACCATATCTATATCATTTTCTGACGCGACGCCCAACTATTCTGTTTCACTTATTTTCCTCTTTCTTTTTTTTTTTTTGTTTTTCTTTCTTTCTTTTTTTTTTTTTTTCGTTATAATTTGACGAGGAGAATTCTGGTTCGTTCGACATGGATTCCTATTGTGCCCCCGGCTGCACCGTTATTTTTTCTCCCGTCCTTTTTTTATCTCGAGCTCTTAATTTATCGAGGGCATTGACGTGGGAGTCGGAGGAGTGTAAAATCACTCAACGTGATGCGATGCTATTACCTGAGGGGCCGCCGCCTTTCCAAGAGTGGAAGCGGAAAAGTAGTGATGCATACACAACGGTGTTATATCCATGGCATGTATATGTATATAGGATGCAGCCTTCGTCGTGGTCGATTTCTTGGTCGATGCCGAAAGACAAGGGATTCCACCCTCGTGTAATCTTAGACGATGAGAAACTGAATAATTAACGTTGTCGAGCCGTGATGAGGGAAAGTGGCGATGGATAGTTTAATGGTTTATAGTTTGTCGAGTATAGAAAACGTTGGTTAAATTTCTTTTAGATAAAAGAAAAATATTGATATATGCATATATTTTTACTTATATATTTTCTTTTGGAATTATTATTAATTGATTAATTAATGATAATGAAAAGAATTATTTAATATTATAATAAAATTATTGTATATTTATTTATATTGTTAAATTGTACATATTATATAAATTATAATAATTATCTTGTTATTATAAATTGAAAATCTCAATTCTGTCTCACATTTAATTTTTTCTTCTTCTTCTTTTTTTTTCTTCTTTTTTTAAATATATCAAGTAATAATTAATTTTTTTATTATTATAATATAGTCTTAGTAATAATTTTTATTGTTTGCATCGTTTATTTTGCCATTTCAAGTAATATTGTCTTTTAAATGATTGATATTTATAGTGTCATATTCTAAGGAAAATTTTATGGCTTTATAGAATAACAATAAACGTTGATTTTTCTCCTTTTCTTATTTTTTTCTTGTCTTGCAACGGCAAGAAAATTCTCAAAATTCATAGGAAGAGAAAGCAAAGGATTCGTTTGCACGTACACCGTGTGTAATTAAACTCTCTTGTGTCTCTACAGTCTGAAACTTCACTGAAAAGGTACATGTTTCTGAAAGTTTCATTTCATCTCCAAGTTGTTTCATATCTGATCTTTTCTTTTTAACGAAACAGACTTATCTTATGCTTTTGCATATTTCTTTTCCTGATTTGATTTTTTCTTGGGTTAAATTTCGAATTAAATAATACATCCGGAAAAATGATAATACAATTGTAATTTTTTAAAGAAAATCAAGAATAAAAAATTGATCATACATATAATTATATATTAACGCACAAAATTATCTATTAAATTTTTTTATTAACATAAGAAATTGTATTTACAACGCTTGATCAAAAAATAGAAGTCATTTAGAAGACATTTAACATTTTTCTTATTTTTACTGAAATTTAATATTAATGAATTGAACTATATATTATAATTATATAACGATATGTAATTTGTATTTTAATTATATTTTTGGATTGATATATTCTGATTTTTCCAAATATTCAGAATTTTTTTTCTAAATCAGCAAATGTCATAATTTATATTAGAAGAGTTACTTGCCTGATATATAATAAAAAATAATAAAACAATAAGTTATTAATATATTATATAATTATACATATAATAAAATACATTAATAATTAATAAAATTTTAAATTAAATTTTGTTCAAATGAAAATTTAAATTTTATTAAAAATACAAAAAAATAACGAAATCAATTATAAAGAATTCATATCACAAAGTGATAACTATCACGTAAGAAACGAATGTATAAACATAATATAGACATAATAATGGAGGAATTGGATGTATCTAGGATTACTTGATTGCCAGATCCCTTTAATCCCAAGAATTTCAGAGTCTAAATGGTCTCAGATGATCGTTTGACGTCAATGATATTACAATCTCTAAGATGCAGATCAAATTCCTCCCTTGTTTCTAAATCTTTGAATAACTATAGTGCCTACGTGATCACATG